GCAGAGGAGCCACAAGATATCACTAATTGTCACCCTTTGTTTCTCAAAAACAGAGTCAAACTAAGGTAAAAAGTTGGATGTTTGATAGTTGTCTTAATGTTGAACTATAACTGGTCAAATATGGCTTTATACTGGTTTCCAAAAACGACTCCTTTGCACTTAGTGGGGCTGTGTGATGTGAACAAAAGTGTTGTGTATGTAGGGTTCTGTTTTAGGTAGAAAGCGATCCACACTCTTCGTGTCTGAAGAATCATAGAGTATTTATTATGTGTTAAAGAATGTGTGGGTGTGTGTGTGTTCGTCTATAACAGTTCAAACCTCAACAATTTCACAGCGGTTCCAGCAGACTGTTGAGGCTTTTTGCACCTCATCACCTCAGCACCAGATGACTATTTACACCACAAAACATTTCTATTGTAGCATAGCTGACAAGAAGAACAAAAACTGTTTTGCAGAAATAGACCATTTCACCAAACACCAGTCTCCATAAATGCAAATGTGTAAAAATACCCAAAATGATCTTTATTTATACTTCTAGTGAATTTATGTTTCAGTTGTTAGGGAAAGAAAAGTTGTTTTTTTTTCTCATCAACTCCCTGGTCTGACTTGTGAAATACTCTGACTTTAAAGTTTTTCATGTGAAAGGTAGTAAGCAGCTTGAGTTACGCATTTCAATTTTGTACTCGCTGAACTCATTTTTTTTTCTTTTGTCTATTTAACCAAAAGTTGAAACATCAGGAAAGAGGAAACAGATTTTGTGGATTATTATCCAACTCACATATCTCATTAGGTACTGAGACGATCAATTTTTATTAACTCTTTGCAGCCATTAACTCAGATTTTTATTTGAGTTAATGGCTGCAAGGAAAATTGTGTAAATTACAAAGGAGATATTTTTTTGAACTTTCTAACAAAATTATAAACTAAGAAATGGATGATATACACTGTTGATTTTTGTTACGTTTTTGGTGCATTTATTGAGATGACTGAGTAAGTAAAAATAAAATGTGTCTGGTCTGATCGGTGATTTTTTTCAGAAACTACAAATGAGCGCTTTTTGCATTAAATTAATTCATTTCTAACCGTTCATGACGATAACAACTCTGCTTACTGAGTGAAGCTCATTTAGTTATTAGTATCATGAAGTTGTGTAAAGTGAATCACAGATGACGTAGAAATAAAACTTTTAAAAATTGAACATTTTCTTTATGGAAACTGGACATTCAGGCTGATATTTCAGCATTAAAGGAGAAATCAAGCAGATTGAAAAGGGAGGCTTTGCTTTCAAAAGGCTGAATTTGTTGCAGAACATTTTCGTTCAGAGCTTTCAGCCTCTCTGTCATAGAACATGTTGATTTAGCCAATGTTGAGCGTTATTTGGAAATCTCCCAGTAATGGTGATGGTCTACTTTCTTTATCCATAAACATTGTTCTTAGCAGCTTTTAATAATAAAAATTCATCACCTCGGTTATCATGTTTCATTTGTTTTAAAACAGTGTTGAAATGGTTAAGTGCAAAGCTGTTTAATAAGCACATACATCTTCTATTGTTTATTATCATTTTTGGACAATTAAAAGTCATCATAAGGACTGTATGACAAATTTATCTTCACTCCTCATCATGCAATGTAGTTTATTTTTGTCCTCATGCAGCACATTTTTTTACATGATGTTGCTGACATTTGTGGGAAATTTGTCATTGATTGGATGGAAATAAATTTTATGACGGGAAACCAGTGAATCAGGGAACAGGCAGGAGACAGAGGGTTTGCTCTTTTTAACAGACATCAGGGAGTGATCCCTGTGGTCGGACTGCACAGAGAGTCTAATTTTTACTTAATTTATAGTCTCAGAAAACAATTTCCTAATCTCTTTAAGCTAGCTTCAAATCATTCCTAATACCATGGGAGAATTATGTTTTTAAAATATAATCTTGTCTTAAAATAAAATAGCATTTTTTTAAATAATTTTTTTACTTGAGTTCTATGGAAGTGCTCTGCTGTTCGTCCTGTTGACTTTATTGACCACTGACAGGAGACATTATGATCCCATGGCCCACCTGAGATTGGTTGACCCCGTGTATGAACCGCTCCCTGTGGATATCCCTATAAACTCAGTCTGTCCATGGCTTGATATATTTTGCATACGTTTTCTGCAGATGTGCCCTTTGGCTGAGCCTTTAATCGTATTCTGTTTATGTCAGTTTTATGTGCATTGTCCTTTGTTCAGCCTCCATGTTACCTCAGTTAAACACCAGGCCTCACAAGAGAAAAGTATTTAAATGAAAGCTGTGCTGATATTACACGATATACAAAAACCTCCAGTCCAGGGTGCTGTAATTGGCACCTCTGACAGCCTTTCTTGGCCTCTTGTTCACATTCTTCCTTTCTAGTCAAATCAGTCCTGTTTGTGACTGAGTGTCCCTGGATGGGAGTGAGTGAGTGTTTGAGAGAGACTTTTAGGTGTGTGTGAATATGGTGGTAACATGAAGGGCAGCTGAAAGGCTCCAGGGAGCACATGATCACTTGAGTTTGTGCATTTGGGAGGGTTGGACTTGGATAACTGTGTGTGGCTGTGCCTCGAGGCAGACTGTCTGCCATTCTGGGGTCATTCTCGGTTCAAACAGGAAAACAGTTTTGGTACTGAAGCTGAAACCTCAAACAGAACGTTTAGCTGGACTCGGGTTCTGAATTTAAATTTTATTTTCCACCTCGTTCTGCTTATTAAGTGTATGAGATTTCAAGATAAGGTCAAAAGTCTGGAAGATCACTGATGAGCAAATCATTTGTATTAATTTTGCTAACAAATTAAAGCATTAAAAAATTATTTCATGCCTGGAAATGTTTTTTTTTTGTGACACTAAGCTGGAAGGTTGTCAATAAATTGTTAAAAGTAGTAAAAAAAAATTTAAGCACATTTAACCAAAACTTGATTCATTTAATTATTTTTTATGCCTTGTCAACTATACCTTTCTTTATCATGTTGTAACATCCAAATGACAAAAATAAATAAATGCAAATAAGAGTAGGAATGCATAGCACTCTTTACCTTCACTTGACAGATTGTCATTCAGTTGGATTGAAGTCCAGAATTTACAACAGTGGCAATCATCTCATTACAAATAAAACACACTATGTTCTATTTTATATATTTTTAAAGCCACTGTTGAATAATCTGAGCCTAGATTTAACTAATGCTTATTTTTAATTTTTTTTTTTCTGAAAAATGTGTGCGGATGAATTACTTTAAGTGCCATTCAGCAGTCCAAGTCAGCTCATATGCTGCATTAGCTGATCCCAGGTGAGGCTTAAAGTATGCAACACTTCTTCCAATTGGAAAGAAATGCAATAAGACCTTTACGCCAATCAGCTGAGTGTGAATGTCAGTTATAGGACGCAGGAGGTTCATTTATTTAAGAGCTCACTGGAGTAAAAAGAGACAACAGAAGATTAGACACGAATGAACCTCCCGTTGAAATCTCGCAAGCACATTTATGCTAATGTCTTGCATGGATAGATCGCACGAACATATGCATTAGTTTATGGTTCATAGTTTGGGTTTTGTGTGTATTTTCTGGCAAATGGTCGACAATTCGGCAGAGCGATTTGAAGCAGTCGGCATGCAGAGCCTTGAATCGCATCCATGCTTTTGATTTGAGGCTCCAAGAACAACAGCTCTCACCCTCTGCTTTCCATACATTAATCACAGGGATGTTCAGCCTAATTTCTCCTCAACTATGAAAGCTCTTCCAGAGAGAGCCCTCGGTTCATGAGCAGGCGAAGGACTATTCCAGCATGCTATCCAAACACTCCTCACAGATATCAAATGTGCAACTCTCATAGTTGGACCAGTTGTGTCTAGATGTAGCTCCCAGTGCCTGCTTTGAATTTAAATCAAGTCATATTTAATGCATGGGGTTTATCTGTCGCCACCTTGGTGCAGGACAAGGGCTGCTGCTTTTGTGCTCAGACAAAAATGTGTGGGAACTTCAAGACTTCAGTTCATTAAGAGTGGGTGATTTAATGTATACATATCGGTGTTCTCAATGAGGAGGAAATCACAAATATTGTGATTTCTGATCAGTGTTTTTACTGCTATCTAGACATCTGCTTGAGATCTCTTATTCATCTGTGGTGAGCAAAGGAGAAGCCTTTGCCTCAAAGTAAATACTATAAACTTTGTTTTTTTACATGTTTCTGCCAAAACAGCAGGAGGTGAGGAATTGGCGTTAAGCACGTAATTATAAACAATGTCCAAGATCTGCCACAAGTTGCGATAAATCATAACGTTCGGTGTCTTTCACTCTCCCCCTCCATGTCACGTCTGTCCTCTATGTCTCCCTCTCACAAACCTTCATTTGTCTGAAATAATTCATGAGGTCTATCAGGAATCTTATTGAGTGGGATGCTCATTTACAAAGTAGCCCACACTGTGCTCACTGGACGTGACATCCCTCAGTGTTTACATGTCCTGCTAGTCACTTTGCTCCTGTAGAGGTCATTGACTCACTGATTTCTAATTAGTTCAGCTAACAGCAGCTTTGAAGCGGAGAAGTGGCCAATCTTGAGGTTGTAAAGTTTTAAGAAGTCTTTGGTTTTTGCTTTGGTGGCTTTTTTGGTGTGGATTTCGGGTGCAGAGAAATGTGTTCAAGTAGAGTGAAGGAAAGATGTGGGTGTGTTTGGATGCAATGAAGAAGATCCATTGTGAATCTTCAACTTTACTGAAGCAAAATTAATTCTGTCAAACTGAAGAAATAAGCCAAGACATTGCAAGCAGTGGCGGTTTTGCGTGAAGCAAGTTTTTCGAATGAGTGGGATAGAAGATATTGATCCGTAGAATGACTGAAATGTCTCAGCAGCAAAGAGAAAAGCAAATGACAAACTGAATGTCATTGGAAGTCTAGACTCTACAGTTCATTATCTGTTCTTGGTGAGTCTGAGCTAATCTTTGCTTAGTTGCAGAACTTAATTTTCTATGCCTTTATTCTTCTGCTTCTTTAGGTTCGTCACACGATTCATCGAACTCGACGGACTCACCTGCCTGCTCAATTTCCTGCGCAGCATGGACTACGAGACGTCAGAGAGCCGCATACACACTTCAGTCATCGGCTGCATCAAGGCCCTGATGAACAACTCGCAGGGACGCGCTCACGTCTTGGCCCATCCGCAAAGTATCAACACCATCTCTCAGAGCCTGCGGACGGAGAACATTAAAACTAAAGTGGCGGTTCTGGAGATTCTCGGAGCCGTTTGCTTGGTGCCTGATGGACACAAGAAGGTGCTTCAGGCCATGGCGCATTACCAAAAATATGCTGCAGAGAGGACTCGATTCCAGGTGAGTAAAGCTGAGCTGAAATGATATTGCTCCTATTGTGGGTAATGTGCTGTAGATATTCTTAATTTCTTTAGATTTTACTTCCTTTCAGCCAGAATTTTTTATTTTAAATTTTTTTGGAATCTTTTGAAGTCGACATGGATATTAAATCTTTGTCTTTTCTTAACTGAAAATCAATGTTTTTATGGAACACTTTGACCTTCTCATGTCCATTGTTGATTTTCTTTACGGACCACAGCATATGACAGAAGAACAGTATTTAAAATGCTTCTGGCTTCCAATTGTGAGCAGTCCTTATATATTTTAAATCTGGAGCAAACAGTACTTCATCCAACCTTTCTGTTATCTGGTAACAGTTTTGCTCTCTCTCACTCTGTCACAGTCAATAAGAATTAGGAAAGTCTTCAGGCTTTCACAGTAAATGCTTCTTTCTCTTTACAGTTGATAATGACAGCAGATTGAGTCTTGCATCGTTCTGATGAGCTTGCTAAGTTTGAGTCTTTTTATTCTTTTGAAGAAACTTAGCTGTGCCAACATTGGCTAGATATTAATTCTGGACTCCAGTTATTTCCTAACACTCCAGGTTGGTGGTTTCACAAAACATTGACAGCAGCAATTCTTTCTGAATAGTCACATTTTCAGCAACCAAAGGTCAGTTTCCTTTTATTTTAGTCTAGTCTTTGCAACTCACAAAAACATTTGAAAAAACAAAAGACAAATTGCTTCAGACGAGTCTTCCACCTTGGAATTAAAATAGAAAGATATAAGTGATGACTCAAACCTCTAGCACATAAAAGTGGTACAAGCAAATTTCTCAAGATGCCTGCCTACATCACTGTGGTCATTTTAAATTTAGCTACTTGTGCAACTCAACTGGTTGTTCTTGGGTGAGGCACACAAGCCATTGAATTTAAAACTTGTCAAGGTCGCAAGGTATTGAGTGCTTTAGTAAGTGGTAAGACTGAGTCAACAACCACATCTTACACGTGCCCCTGGGGGGTCTGCAGTAAATTGTACCACGACAGACTAAACTAACACCCTGGGATCTGAATCATTGCAAGCTTTGTAGGCCTTTAAATGTCGGTTTGAGCTGTGATTAAACTTCTGAAGTAAGTTAGGATAAGTTAAAAAACTGATAGCAGTTACCGTGTGTCACCTACTTTTCCTTGATACTGTCAGCATAATATGGGTTCCTTAGCATGCCTTCATTACCACTTACCACAGTTTGAATCTGACTCTTTGACCTCTGAACTGCATTTATGCATTTATATCCAGACACTCCTCAATGAGCTGGACAGAAGCACTGGTCGCTACAGGGACGAAGTCAACTTGAAGACGGCAATCATGTCCTTCATCAACGCAGTGCTCAATGCTGGAGCTGGAGAGGTCTGGATGTGCTAACCAACGTTTTTGTGTTTCAGTTATTAGTGGTTTATTTCCCAAAATGATAAGATAAGCTTGAATCTGCTGTTAGACACTGTTTCTACATCTACTAGCAATAAGTTTCTTATAAATGAATAAATTCACATGGTTTTCTAGAACATTTTACAATTCCTGACTTCCTGTTTGTTAAATCGTTTTAACACTTTTAACATTAAATATTGCCAGATAATTTCTGACTAAGCAGTTGCAGGTATTTTGAATATTGTTGTACTGCTTGTTGCTTTCAGGACAACCTTGAGTTTCGTCTCCACTTGAGGTACGAATTCCTGATGTTGGGCATTCAGCCAGTTATTGATAAACTCCGAGAGCACGATAACGCCACTCTGGACAGGTGAGTGATCGTCTACTATTGTGCTGTTGGTGCTGCTTGCATTTCTAAAATGTATAAATCTCACAGTGTTTTGCTTCTTTTCCCAGACATTTGGACTTCTTTGAGATGGTGAGAAATGAGGATGACTCTGAGCTGGCCAAACGATTTGATATAGTGGGTTTCTCTTTTTTATATTAAAACATTTTATTCTAAAGTTAGGTCTGCGTTGGAAATAAAACATCTTCTTTTTTTTCTTTGTTAGTCCCATGTGGACACAAAGAGTGCTGGTGCCATGTTTGAGCTGATCAAGAAAAAACTGAGCCACACAGATTCCTACCCACATCTTCTCTCGATCCTTCAGCACTGCCTGCAGATGCCCTGTGAGTCAAAGAAAAAAGGGCCAAAATATCTTCAGTTCAGATTATCAGCTTCACTCTGGGTCCATTTAGTATCACAAATGTAAAACAAGACTTTTTCTTTGTGTTCAGATAAACGTGGAGGTTGCAGCTTGCAGCACTGGCAGCTTTTAGACAGGATCCTGCAGCAGATCGTCCTGCAGGACGAAAAGGGAGAGGACCCAGATGTCTCCCCACTCGATAACTTCAGTGTTAAGAACATTATTCGCATGTAAGTACTACTGTTCATTGGCGCTTTACAGTACTTCTCAACAATAAACTGTTAGCAAGGTTATTCCAATTTGACTCCAATTTGACGTTTACATTTGTTTTTGATCTATCAACTTCAAATAAGGCCAATAGACTTTATCAAGTCCTTCAGCGTAATTATATCTTTATCATAAAAAATTTATCAGATTGTTTTCTGCTGTTACTTGCACATCTATCTGATTATACTACAATAATAATAACAATAATACATTTATTTCAAGTCAACTGTTTGCCTATTTTTAAGTAGGCAACAGCATAACATTTCTGTATCAGTAATGTAGTTTATCAGTCTTATGCAATATTGTCATTATCTGAAAAATAATCAAAGCACTTTGAAATGCCTTGTTTCTGAAAATATGCTATGTAAATAAAATAACCTTACCTAAATGAACTGTAAGCCACAGTTATAAGAATGATTGAAAAAAAGAAAACATACCAATATGTGAACGCAATCTTTGTTCACACTTTGATTTTTTTTTTTTTTTCAAAGAGATTCTAAAGTAAAAGAACAAATGGCTTAGATTTGTGTTTTAAAGTTGTTGTTTTTTTTTTGTTTTTGTTTTTTGGCCAGTCATTACACTGTAAATAATTTATTTTTAGTACTTTCATCACACCATTTTCAAAGATTTATTTTATTCTGAACTTGCTCCTAGTCTTGATTGAATAATCAATACTAAGCTCAAAACCTGATAAAAACACCATAACGCAACAAAAAGAAACTAGAATAAAATCAACTTTGATAAGAATACTCCACTCCTTTCAGGGTTGATTAAATCTGTCTCTCTTTTGTGGTGCTTGTGTCGGGGGTTCGGTCTTCTCAGAGAAGAAGAGGCGATTTGAAGGCAACAGCAGGGGGCCGGTGGCCGACTCTGAGGAAGGTCCACTCAGAGCGCGGCTTGGGCATGAAAGCAAAAGCCTCAGATCAAAGGAAACGTTCTCTAATCGCATTAATAGTCTGTCTAAGTCCGTCATGTTGAGATGCAGTGAAACAAGCACCCCTCAGTAGTCAGGGAAGCAACAAGGAGGCGGCATCATTTTATTCAGGAGAAGCAAGAATTATAAATCGGTGGTTTGGATGTGTCGTTGTGGCTGTTGCTCAACAAGAATGCTTTCCGAAAGATCGTTAACATTTCCTGATGTCTGCGGTGGAGGTTTAATTGATTTCAGAGACTGACCTGATGTTGTTTTTTAGCTGATTTAATACATTTTGTTGGCAGTGTTAGATGATGATTTTTAGGCCCTTGTTCTATACATCACAACACCTCAGTTTCTTCTTCTGTCAGGCTTCCATTCCTGTTTTTTACCATCTGTCTTCTCCTTACTTTTGTTATGTTTAAACTGTGCTCCTGATCGGTGATTAATGTGTTTAGTCTCTGTGGTGAAAGCACCATAAAGCATGTAGCGTGGTTCACTTTTGGCCCCTGACAGCTCCTGCTTTGTTCACTAATTCAACCACCATTGTTTTTGCAATCATTTGAGTGCAATCCTTTCCAGGAGCGCACAGAAACCTTCATTTCTGCCCATCACTGATCCACCACATCGGTCAAACTCTACCCACTCACTTTACGCCTCAGCCAAAGTCTTATTGTGTGTTTCCATAAACTCTTTGAGAGTAATTTGCGCCTGCAAAAAAAGGGAATGTAAACAAATTGTTCCACATTGCGTCGTCTCGACAGTGAGAGGGTGAAAACATAAGGCTCGTGCCGTGAAAACTCAGAGGGAGAAGAGAGGCTTGTTGGAGCAACTGTTAAAACAACTGTCAGGAGAAGTCATTCATCATCTGCGGTCGGTGTGATGACGGAGAAGGACACGCGTGCAGGGCATAAAATTGAAGCATCGTAGAAATCAGGGTTTTCCACAGTAATGTAAAAGGTCTGCAGGTTAGACCTGCTGATGAAGAAGAGAAGATTTGTTTTTTTCATTCCTGGTGTGATTAGAGAAGAAAGGATTTCATGATCAAGCTGAGAAAGACCTTAATTTTATTAAGGAACATTTTGTTTCTAACTTGCTCAGCAAAAGCAGTTTAGTGTGAATCGGTTTCCCAAAGTACTGCAGTTACAGTGCCTTACAAAAGTTTTAATATTCCTCTTGTCTCATAGCCTCAAATTTTATGTTTTGATGGCGTTAATCATAATAAAACAACACAAACTAGTGCATTTTGTGTTGGCCAATGGCATAAAATACCAATCAATTACACTGAGGTATGTAGTTATGGGAGAATACATGAAAAAGGTTAAGGGTCATTGATGTATCTGTAGGGCACTGTTAGAATCTCAGTGTTTTTTTTCCCTTCTTATTTTGAAATATAATTTGCAATGTCTGATTATTGCTGCATGTTTATTCTCTCATCTCTAGCCAAGGCTACCACCGCTCCTCAAGGTTTCACTTTCCAATCTTTCATCATCCTTAATAATGTCATAAAATGTCCCGTTGCTAATCTTTAAGTTTATGTGTCTCATATCATTATCGCCACTGTCAACTCTGATATCTCACATAACATGACCTATTTCCAAGTGCAGCCAAGTCCCAGAGATAATACCTGAAAAAACAACAACAAAAAGAAAATATAACCTATTCAGCCCCGCAGGTTTTATCCCAGCACTAATGTTTTCCTTCCAAGCTTCAAACTGCTTCAACTCAGTCAATGCTGGTCAAATGATGTCATTAATAGGGAAGTCAAGGATTAGTGTCACTGATCAATAGCTTTTAAATCCAGTGATTAGATTACCTTGGACCGACCCTGCTTGACTCAGTTGAAATGCAGTTGACCCCGCGTGTGAGCACTCTTCTGCAAGCCTGTGCTTATTTGTGTCTGTCTGCTTCACAGGCTGGTCAATGAAAATGAGGTGAAATTGTGGCGAGAACAAGCCGAGAAGTTCAGGAAAGGTGAGGAGCTTGCGACCAGGCTGCATGGATTTTCTAAACAAAATCTGCATCAAGTGAACATCTTTATCCGTTCTTGTCAAACTGCAGACCATGCAGAGCTAATGGCTAAACTGGAGAGGAAAGAGAGGGAGTGTGAGACAAAGACCCAGGAGAAGGACGAGATGATGAAGACTCTGAACAAGATGAAGGACAAGCTGCAACGTGAGGGCGTGGAACTGCGTTCGGCCAGAGAGCAAGTCCTGGACTTGTCGTCGCGCATCAATGACTTTGCAGTAAGAACTTATGTTTTATTGGTTCTTGACAGCTGCACTGATCAGGCTTTTCCTGAATATCTCGGCAGAAGAATTGTGATGTTGTCCCCATGTTTGCCATGCATGTATGTTTGATTGTCACTTAAAATGTCTGAAAGTAAATGGTGCTACTACTTTTATAGGCTGAAAATGGCAAGATGTTTTTATTACAATCGCTTCATTGAATATAAAAAAATGCAAATGTATTGTATGAAGTAAGTAAAAAAAATTAATGCTGCTACCAGTCTCTGGACTACTAATCAACTCCCTTCTAATCTTGCAATTGGATATAAGTTTACAAACATTACATAAATACCCCCCTTAAAAATGATAAACAGTTATTTGCTTTGTAAGCATTTAATACAGTTATGTTTTGACTGTTCATGAAACATTACAAAACTGGCTTGTTAACCGTTTTATAAGTCCTTCATAACTGCAGTATTACTGTAAGTTAAGATTTAACTTTTGTGTTTAATGATAACTAGAATATTTTTACTGTAAATAAAAGTTTTAATTCCATTTCCACCTGGAAGAAATAATGGTTTTATTCAAAATATTTAACTTCTGTCCATTCATCTTTCAGCAGGGCAGCAGTGTTTCCATGCTGCCTCCCCCTCCGCCTCCTGGAGCACCAGTGCCTCCACCTCCTCTACCTATGTCAGGCAGCTTTCCTCCACCACCACCTCCACTGCCGTTCAGCTGCCCACCGCCACCCCCACCGCCTCCTCCGCCAGGGGCACCTCCTCCTCCACCTGGAGCGCCTCCTCTTTTTGGAGCGCCACCTCCTCCCATCCCCTCTTCATTCAACTCCATGAACATGATGCGGTCAAAGTCCATTCCTCAGCCTTCTCATCCACTAAAGTCCTTCAACTGGAGCAAATTAGGAGAGGTGAGACGAGACGTCCTTAAAAGTTCTGTAGTAATGTGCAAACACTGACATGTATACTTTAAAAAGACTCACCATTGATGAAAACATCTCAGATTTGCTCATTTCACACCCAACTTTTGAGTTGTGAATTTGTGCTGTCTACTCTTGGAGGTGTGGTGGTGCCCAATGCATCAGTTGGACATTTTATCCCCACTTGACCACTGAAAATTTTACATTTTGTTCTGTTCATGGTCTCGAATAAGTAAATGATATTGTATACCTGAATCTGCCTAGAGGAATTTTGGTTCATCACAGTTCTTTCATATTTCATAAGATTTAAGAGGCCTGTACTGGGACCAGAAACAAAATAAACAGAAAGGAGCATAGTGCAAAGTTGTCCTTTTAAATAATGTATATTTGTGTTCATGAATTGATTTGATATGAACGTTATTACACATGCTTATCTCCATAATTTATGAAAATACTTAACTGCAATGATAAGTAGACTGATGCGCTGTTTTTACAAATTCATCTAGTTAGTCCTTGAAATAAAGTAGCGGTTTGTTTTGTAGTTGGAGTGAAAGCAATAACGCCCTCCTGTGTTTTTTCCAGAATATGATCAACGGCACCATCTGGAATGAAATTGATGACCTGAGGGCGTTCAAGATTCTGGACCTGAAGGACATAGAGAAGATGTTCTCAGCATATCAGAGACAGCAGGTTTGGATTTGTTTGTGGGTTATAAATACCTGATTACACTTATGCTTGTGTGTGTGCTGAAAGCTGAGTATGTGTTGGTATGCGTGAGCATGCGGATGTTTCAGAACGACTCTTTTATAGTGTAAACAGTCCAGCTTCAGGCCTACAGGAGCAGCTGTTGGCTGCTAAATGGGTCATTGCAGCTTCTGCTGGTGCCTGCAAAACTGGTGTGAGAGCCAACGACAGGTCTTGAATCAAGGTCATTACTGAACCCATAAGGAGTCACCATACAAGAAAACACAAAACCTGTTACTGAGATGTAGTGAAAATAAACAGATTTATTGATTAAATCATTCTGAAACTGAAAACAAACGAACTGAAAGCATAAGTGGTATATCTCTTGGGAATAAGTCAAACCATGCATAGCAATCACTCTCCTCTCTGCTGGGGATTAATTGTACTCTTTTCATTCCATAACACAATGTACAGTTGCACAAACTGTACCTTATATCACAGATATATTCTCCACTTAAGTGGCTTTAAGTGGAGGATTAATTTGTTCTAATTGATTTCAAGTAATCACAGTTTAAAGTGAGGTCTTTAAGATTCCATTAAAGAGCATTAAATCATCTCCACTGAGGCATCGCCATTGTTGAGTTAATGCATTTTACAGCAGTCGGACAGTTACAATCACAGTGTCTCCTTGCAAGCTCTTATTAAAGAGGAATGGGTCATTTGGGGTTGTTGCTGACAGTGATATACTGCAGGTATTTATTTGTGCAGAGCAGGTTTTTATTGGCACTGGCCGTTGCCTAAATGCTGATCCCAGTGGATGCAGTCGCATAAAAACCCAACGTCTTCCTGACTTTGACAGCCTAGTTCCCGTTTGGAAAGAGCCAAATTTAATTTAAATTTCACTGGGCAGTAATGCTGTGTTTATACATGACATACTTTTGTTTTAGAGCTTTTCATTGCTCTTTCTGTCAAAATGGTATTTTATTTACACTTGCACTCTGTAGAATTGTCTGCCACAGTCGTATTTCATCGTCCTGTTTTTCCATGTCAGACTGATGTAGATGCAGTCAAAATTAAAACCACCAAGGCATCCATGGCCAGTTTAAGAAGACAAAATCCGAACTAGAAAACTATTTGTGTTAATCTCTCAGCCTTTTATGTAGCTCTTTTGAACCCTGGACAACTTGAAGTACTTAGCATTGTTACGCTCACAAAAGCTTTCCAGCTTCAGCTTGTAGTTTGCACATAGTATTAGTAGTTCTTTGCTTTTGCCTTTCCGGCCTTCAGTGCTAATCTTTGCATGTGTTCTCAATTTTTTTTATTTGTCCCTGCTTTCTCCGGCTGCCTGGGCAGGACCTGCTAACTAACCAATCCTTCAAACAGGTGAGTTAAAAATCTTTGAGCTTCTTGACCTCAGTGGTTATCCACTATTACTGCTTTCATCACCTTGCCTTCTGCCTCACAGCGGCCAGGCAAACAGCAGTCAGCTTTACATATTGAATTTGTTATTTTTTGTGATGTTTTTTTTCTCTCAAAATTTTGATTTTCATGTAAAACCAAGTGTCTTGCTGAAGTTGCGAATCATCCTTTGCTAATAAAATCTACACGAATAATTGATCATCATTACGAGTCACATCTAAAAGTCAAGGTTTTGATAGTTTGCTAGCTACCAAAACCTTGACTTTTTGGTAGTTAAAAGGTTCCACTTCCACAATCTTGAAGTGGAAAGACTTAGAAACAACCCAAGACAATATATTGTTGGACCCCTTTAATTTGGGAAAGTTCACAAGGCCATTTTAAAACTATTTGAAATCTGTAATTCAGCAGAGAAAATATTTGCAAGTGAAAATATTTAAAGCATCTACCAAACTCCTAGAAGTGGAAAACCCCATAAAATGTAGTTTTAGCAATAAAGTCTGACTTCGGAGAGTCGGATTTCTGAAGTCTTTGGACTGACCTTAGGACCAAACTGGAGAATTTTGGCCATAATGCAAAATACTATTTGGAGAAAACCAAATATAGCTAATAAGCACAAAGACTTCATCCCACATATAAAGCACGTTGCTGGAGGGGTGATCATTTTTACTTCCTTTGCAGCAGGACCTGGGCATTTTTCATTTGTCAACTTGACCACAAACACTAAAATAATCTAGAATCAGATGTGAAGTCATATGTCTGGAATGCGAAGCTCATCCTAGACTGGATGACATAATCAGTGAAAGAACGCTGTAAAAAGGAAACAGGACCGAAGTTCTTCTACAAAATTGTGTAAATCTGTGAAATTCATGCAGAAGAATAGCAAAAAGTTACTAAAGGTGGTTTTATAAACTAAACTTGGCTACTTTTTAGCCTTTGTGGATAGATGCAATACATGTAGAACCTGGTAAAAGAATAGATCTGTTTCCTGGTGTGTAGAAACTTTGCTGTTAAAAACCTGCTATTTTTGAATTAGCAACATTGTGATTCACAGTTTACCACTAAAAGCAAAATGTTTTATGTTCCAATATGACTTTAACAAACAATGCAATAATTTATTTTACATTTTTGATTTAACCTCCATAATTACGGAGTTATATTTCTTCACCTCGTACAGTCCTTTAGCTATTACAATCAGACAAGTACACCATTAAGACATTCTGCTTGAAAGTTCAAAGCACACCACCTCGTATTTCAGCTGATGTCACTTTGTGACCAATTGAAAAGTTCAACATTTTAGTCAGTCGTATCAGCGCCTATAAGGCGAACAGTCTGGCAGAGTTGGCGCTCGTCTGTGAGCCACGAGAGAGAGCTTTGAACGGTTTCAGTGGATGGGAGTTGTCCACCTAACCTGCTGCCAACCCCGTGCAGCTGCCAAACACCCCGGGTCAGCACGGACGCAGAAAAACGACACTTTCTTTAAAATCCACATCTGTTTTATATATGTCATGCCCAGCAACCTCAAAAACAGAGATTTTTCTGGCGAGCAGGAAACCAGCCTGGACCATAAATAGAATGTGTTTAACATGCAGGCCCCAAACAGCTCTCTCAGAATTTATTCTTTGCTTCAGGGATTTTTATACTACATTTATGTGAGGTTAACCAACATATCTAACAGGCTTTGATTGGATCAACGTTTCTGCTCTTCCTCTGAGAAGTTTCTGATGAGGTGTTGTATTGTGAATGCTTGCTTCTGATCCTTGTTCTTTGTGTAAGCTCTCTCTGTGTCTAAAGGTAACTTGATCTCAAGCTTTTAGTTTCCCTCTGCTGTTTCGAGTCATGTCTCTTCATTAACGCCTTGTTAAATCTCAGAAAAGCTTTCCTTGATCAGTTAAGATATCGCAAAGAAGTGAGGAGGAGATGTTAACGAGGATGTTAATGTGAATAGTCTTTACTCTGAGCTACAGATTAAATCCCTTCTCTCTCTTTTTTTTTTCACAGAAAGAGACTGGCTCTATGGATGACATCTATGTCAGCACACGGAAGGTCAAAGAGCTGTCGGTCATCGATGGCAGACGTGCTCAGAACTGCGTCATCTTGCTTTCAAAGTAAGCAATCCAAATGGAAGAGCTGCTCTTGTACAACTAAAAATATGACCATGTTAAAATGACTTAGTTTTTTTGTTTTCTTGGCCTAATTGATCTTTTTATTTCACCAAGTCCCACATTTCCATACCCTAAATGCATGTCTGAAAACATGTATTTAGGGTGTATTAAATCCAGTTTGTTGTTGAGCTGAACGTCAGAAGATCAGAGATAAACCATGAGTCGTCAGTATCACTACACATTTATGCTGAGCAAAAACTACTAAAAAGCATTGTATTAAAGAAGGAATGAAAAGAGACACACAGAATCCTTCATTGAATGGTTCAAGGAATCTCCAGTAATATCAATGCATCAGGACAAAAAAAAAAAAAAAGCTGCAACACAAACTGCTACAGGAGATCTCTTTGCCCACGTTTATAACTATATATAATCACCCCTGGAAGAAACTGGGATAATGAATGTTACGAGCTCTAATTCTTCTTTATATGAGTCATATATCGTACTAAATTTAAGTCTACCAAATTGAAATGTTTTTTCCAGCACTTATTTTGGAGTGCGTTGCAGCTTTAAATGCAGTTGTCCACCTATAAAAACAAATAGGTTTGGTTTGCTTCCATTGATTTCAAACCAAAATAATCCTGACTTGACGTGATTGGAGCCTGAGTTATTTGTCCCACATTAAGGAAGTCCCTGCAGCCTTCTGTAGGCTTCTTATGCTTCTTCATAATAGGCTATTCATGTAAGCAGCTGTTTAAGCCACAAAATGTGTTGGCTGCTTTAGCCAAGAGAGAATTTATCCGGAAGTAGTGTATGATATGAAATTCAGTCTATAATTAAACATTCAAGTGCTATCAGTGTCAACGTTAACTCGCATCAAAGATCCATTAATTGACCCTCCTCCCAAAGGGATCACTCTCCATCTGAAACTGAATCCATTGCTGTCTTTTAAGATCCACTTGACAATATGTTCCCCATTTAAATCTCCAAACAGCAGTGGTCCTGGGCCCCCTTGGAGGGTTTAAATGCTGACCCCACTCTACAGATCAATAATCGGGCTTCCTGAGTCCTCTGTGCCTCTGACAAAACAGCAGCACGCTCCCTGCACTCTCTTTCGTGTCAATAACAAATGACCCCAAAGCTGCAGACTGACCCAGATGGGGTTAGCAGATGGTCAATACAGCTTTGATGCGCGTACTGACAATGCTGTTATTGATTGAAGCTCAGCACACGTACGTCTAGAAACAGCTGGCAGTGCTCTCAGGGAACGAGAGGGAGTTGTCCAGACCGGTGCTCAGATCGTCAGTATCAGGACGCTTGTGTTTGTATTTAGTATTTGATGTCATTAAAGTGCAATTGCTTCCCTGCAGGTTGAAAATGACAAATGAAGAAATCAAAAGGGCGATACTAGAGATGGATGAGAGAGAGGAGCTAGCCAAAGACATGTTGGAGCAGGTATGAATCCTTCCATAATGATCAGCGTCTTGACAAGGCTAGATGTTGTAGTTTACTCAGAGATTTGTAGAAAAATAGTTTGCAGATGTTCAAAATCAACAGAATGCTTTCAGGGACTTGAATTCTCCCCAATTCAATTTTTAATTTAATTAAATTTTGATCATTAAAGATTCCCCAGTGCTTTCAAATGTGAGTTTCACAAAGTACTTGTATACACTCAAATTGATATGCAAATGTTAAGAATTGTTGTATGAAATGATGTAAACCTGGCTCTAATATTGTCAATTATAAAACACAAACATATTTATCAGCAAAATAAATGCAAACAAAGCACTTATTAGATATAATAGAATTAATTAATTATTAATTGATATTTGTATTAACTAGCATTAATTAAATGGCAGTAAAATACAATTTAATTACCATGTAATTAAAAAGACATGTAATGTGTCATAGATATAATTTGAACCCTAGTGGGGGGAAAAGGAAATACTGAAAGTGATTGTGGTTTTAGAGTGTCACATGCATATGTTTACTATTTCTTTAAGGAAAATTACTATTGATAGGCTTTACCTGGTTGCAGCTCAAACTGCAGCTATTGCAGTTCTAATAAACATTGCTTCTGCATCTTTTCCAGCTGCTTAAATTTGTCCCTGAGAAAAGTGACATAGATCTTTTAGAAGAGCATAAACATGAGTTGGAGAGGATGGCCCGAGCTGACCGCTTCCTCTTCGAGATGAGCAGGTAAATGTGATGCTCTTTGTGTGAGAGGGTGGTTTAGATTTCTGTTTTAGCCCAAGCTTTAGCTTGATTCATTATGTAGCAGAAGCCCTAAATGCTTTCTCCTTGACTTCATCTCCTGTGGTCAGGCATTTAATATGTCGTGTCTCTCTTTGAAACGCTCCGTCCTTGCTTTGGTGAACGGTTAGTCGAGTTTTACATCCCCATTTGTCGTCTCGTCCTTTGACAAGAGCCCTCTGGATGCCTTAGAAAAGAGTGTAAAGTGAGAAAGGGGATTTTGCACAATTCACTGACTTCTAACTTTTGAAGTTTCACTCCCCCTAAAGACAAATGTAACTGACCTCTGTTAATCTCTCCTCCTCTCGTTTCTTTGTTCTTCTCGTCAGAATTGACCACTACCAGCAGAGACTACAGGCTCTGTTCTTTAAGAAGAAGTTTGCAGAGCGTTTAGCTGAAACCAAGCCTAAGGTTGAAGGTAAGGACAAACTCGATAGTTCAGTGGTCCGTGAATGAATGCCTCTGCGGCCACCATATAGGGATCATATTTAGGTTTTATAGTTTTATCATTTAAACAAGAAATCCAACATTATTGCACAAAAACGTTTTATAAACTCATAACCACAGTTTTATAAACTGTGAGTTCATCTTGACTCACAGATATCACTTTGCGGCTCAACAACGTCTTTGAAAGACATTTTTAAACATTCAGAACAGATGAGCCATTAGCAGATCTCAAGGCAGAAGGTGCAAAGTATTTCTCTTTTGATATATTGAGAAAACTGGATCTAATCAAATTAAGATTCTATTAAATATACAGCGGCTGAGTCGGCATCTTCACCAGTGGGTTCAGATTGAAGCCAGATCTTTCCCATCGTTTCCCAAGGCTGTGCAGTTGTTGGAGAACTCCTGCAGCATCTGGACCAGCAAACTACAGCTGTCTTAAAATCTGCCTGATGTTATTCTTTGTCGATGTGCAAGTCGGAGGATGTCAGAATCGACTTGGATACGAATCTAACCAACAAAGCGATTATCGGTGATTTATGTTTGCAGATTTAGTTCATCTCGAGCCTTTGCAGTAAAAAGGGATGAAGAACACAGTGGAAAGATGTTAAAATAGCTGAAGTCTGGTACCATTTAACAAGTCATTTGAACTGAATACAGTTGGAGAACTTTATCATCTGTGTACTACTCTACTTCTTAAATTGTGCTAAAATTTATGCAGGCTTGATAACCTGTTAATGACCACATTATCAGTATTTTTTAACCACTATATACTAAACAAATTATTTGTTTTATTCAGGCCATAAACCATTCCAAGGCATTCATTTCCTAATCAAATGTGATTTCAGACATGCTGTAGAAATGAAATGAAATGATGCAGCTATGATTTTATTTATGACGCTGCTGTCCAACAGGTGACTTTCTGCAACTTGTGAGCAGACCAATGTGAAAATGTAGAAATATATTTAGAAGCTGGACATAAATTATTAAGGATTAGGCTTTTAAAGGAGATTGCATGGTTATATGCATGTGTGTGCAAATGCTGGCCAGCTATGTTTTGGCTTTATGCAGTTTTTCCGTCTTCCACACAGCATCCGTGTTACCATGGAAGCTGTTTTGGAAAGCTGGCTCACGTTGAGAAAGGACAGCATCTGCTGTGAACCTGAATCTCACTTCAAAGATGTCAGGGAAAAGCGTTCCAGTGTGTGTGCATGACCGAGTTGTCGCTGTAGCTTTTAGAGCCAGGGTTGCTTTGGTGAGAACATCACACTGTTATTTTCGGCGTTTTTATTCGCTCTGACAGTTCGATTCTGTTTGTGCTGCATAATTTCTTCTGAGAAACTTAATTCCTTGTAGTCTGAGGTTAGGGTAATATATTCTGACACACATTTCACTCTCAGCTGGCCCGGGAAGAGAAGAGAAAACCTTCACAATTGCTGTTGTTGGATCCAAAAGTCCCCTGACCACACTGTTCATCGATGTTCACAGTAAAAAAGAAGGAAAAAAAAATCTCATTTTGTTTTATTATTCATGTAATTTTGTCACATACTGCAGATTAGTCTGTAAGTCTGCAGACCACCCAGCCTGTTCAATGGGAGCCTTTTTTAGAAGAAGGCTCCATCAGCCAGAGTCAGGAGAACAGTTCCCATGCTTCATCACAACACAAAGAAGTGTAACAATAACAATATGATGTTTGTTAATGATCTTCACAGTTACACTGATGGTTTCCTTTGTGGAGTCGGGGAACCACCTGTACTTTGCCAGATGGACTTTTCTCAGGGGAAGTGAAACAGACAGAGTTGGCTCATGTTCAGTGTATTCCTTTCCCCTCTTGCTGTTTTACTGATGGAAGGACAGGATACTTTTCCCACCAAGCTGCCCAGTTGTTATGGAGAATTCCGATCACTCATCGTGAATGATGTTAAAAATGAAGGAAATTATGGGGGAACACGGAGTTGAATTTGGAGCTCTGTAGTGTTTGAAAGGAGTAACAGAGTGGAAGGAATAATTTAAGCCCAGTTAGTTATGCAATATACAAAGTTGAACAAGTTTAACTCATGATCTCAGCAGCTGTTTTTCCTCTCCATTTTTTTGCAGCCATCCTGAACGCCTCTGTGGAGGTGGTCCGGAGCAAGCGTCTGACTCAGGTCCTGGAGGTGGTGCTGGCCTTTGGAAACTTCATGAACAAGGGCCAGCGGGGGAACGCCTTCGGATTCAAGGTTTCCAGCCTGAACAAGATCGTCGACACCAAGTCGAGCATAGACAGGTGGGCAACAGAGGGGGACTTGAGCCTTGTTGACCTGAGTCTAAGACTTTGTTTTACAAAATGAAATATTTTGAGACTTGACTTAAACTCCATAACGAACTCTTAATACTTCGGACATGGGTCTCATGAACTAAATCAGTGAAAGACTGCAGCTGCTGCAGTCGGCTGTGGTCTTTAAACAATGGTTTCAGTTAAAAATAAATTTACCGTAACTTTCTTTCTACATCTCATCACTGGCTGCTAATTTTTTATTTTTTTTTTGCACTAATTGTACACACATGCTTCGTAGGAAAACAAAGGAAAAGAGATAAAACCAAATGAAACACATCCAAACATTTCACATTAAAAACATCATATAGATCAATATGTATATATGAGTATGAAATTTAAACTGCAAATTTAAACAAACAAAAAAACTCAGATTTGATGGAATTTAACTTATAAAGTAATATTCAACTTATAAAATAATATTTAAATTATAAAGTAATGTGTAACTTATGGAATAATATTTAACTTATAAAGCTGCAATAAACAGTAATATTTTAAGTCCCGGTTTAAAGGAACGAATTGTATATCAGGTTTTCAGGAAGTTTGTGTCAGAACTAATTAGTGTAGCGATGACGTTGTACCTCATCTTTCTTATTCTGGTCCTGGGAAAACAGAGTGAAGACCTCTCTGCTGACCTGAGAGGTCTGTATAGTCTGGTATTCATCTAGGTCCAAGACCATTGAGTGTCTCACAAATATCTTATGTTTCTTTTTACAAACAAGTAGTCAGAGCAGTGATTTAAGGACTGGTGCTTGGCAGAACAGTGTCTTTTGGATCACATGCAACTGCCTGATTGATATTTTTTATTATTATTATTTTAACAGAAACCTCTATAGACATTATTAAGATATTCTAACCAAGTGAAAATAAAACCTGTTTTGATTAGAAACCCTTTATTCTGGCAATTCTTTAAGGTAACTGTAAGCTGATCTAGCAATATAGCCAATAATCTACCACAATTCAATGTTATGGGGAGAGTAGATGGTCAGTATCCAATGTGAAAATGTTAATTTCAGTCACCAGAGACTTGAAATTGGAAAAAAAAAAAAAATCTATAGCCTGTCAGAAAAGCAAATCTTATCTCATTAGCATTTAAATATTATGAGAAAATAAAAGAATGAGCAGAGGAGGCCCTGCGGTAAAGCAAACCACCCATGTACGGAGGACATGAACCAGCAGCGTTTTGGGTTTGAGTCTCGGCCCGTTGTCCTTTGCTGGATGTCCTCCTCCTCTCTCACAACCCACTTCCCTGTCATTTCACTATCAAATAAAGGCAACTAGAGCTGGAAAACCCCTTAAAAGAATGAACAGAGTGCCTCTGCTCAGTGTTTCTTCACCAGCCGCTGGTTTCTGCAAAAGTTAAAGCGGAGTTTTGAAAGAAAATTGACAGAAAAATATGAAACTACTTCAGCGAGCTGCAGACAAGCGAGACTCGCTCGAACAAACAGCATGTGGGAGCTTTTTTCTCTTTACAGTAATGAAATGTTGTCCGAGCCATCGGTGTTGCCACGGAAACAGGCACTACTGGCATGATTTCCAGTGACTCTGATGTGTCTTAATATAAAAAGGGAGATGAATTGAAGCACGGCACTTTTACTCCACTGCCTGCGTGACCTAATTTTTCTTCTGTGCACTCTGGGCTTTGGATCCAGCATATGAAACTCTACACTATCCAACTCTCTCCGAACACAGTACATGTGAGGCAATAAGTGGGAGCGTTGATATTTTCAGAAGAATGTCATATTTGTAATTATAAACTCTTCCTCAGGGCCTTGCTGCTATTTAGAGGTGTGCTACCTTGGTAACTAATCAACAATCTCTACACAGACAAATGTGCCAAGAAACAAGTTTATAGCAAATGTTGAGTCTTATTGAAGAGATTTTTAGAATGTGTGTCACAACAACTGCGTTGCTTTTTTTAAAAATATTGAAACATACCAATACTTGTTCAGATAAACTCTAAAAAGTCATTTAAGATGGACCTTCTGCTTGTTATTGTGCAGAATATATTAAAAGTAGAAACATTAGTTATAATTGCCAAGAAAAAAGATTTATAAACGCATCATAATCGTGTTCATTGAACATGATTATTGGATTGAGCAGCATGTTAGCATGTCCACAGTTTAGCTGGACTCCGAAAAATAAAAGTCGTAAAAATCCACAATAATATGAGATTATGTAAAACAAAGTAATAATGTGTGTGAGACCAAAAGTTGAGATTTCGGCATAGTTTACTCCACACCATGAAATTAAATTACAATCAGGAACTAAATTATATTTAGAGGATTTTCTAAATCTGAAAGCTTATCCAGATCCAGACCAAATGCTAAGTTAATCCCTGCCCGGTCCTCGGGTGTTTTTACACTTTTCACATTCAACTGATGCTCAACTTTTTTTTATAACAGTTACTTGACGTTAACTGTACCTGCGCTGACCAGCGCTCGTTTGAAAAACCCTAAAATCTCAAGAAATGTTGCTGATTAGGTATTTTTTTTGTCACATAAAAAATACGGAATATGGGAATAAGAATAAAATGAAATTTTGCAGGGTAAGAAAAACTATCGGAGTGAAAGTTTAGACAATTTGCTAGAAGCAGACTGTTATTGTTCACACCTGGTTGTTATTTTTTTCAGTCTGTGAATCTTTGATAATTGGGATTTTTACTGACGGAGGAAAACTTTTCTTTCTTTTCTTCTATGTGGAGCAAACGTTTAGTTTAACCAAATGAAACACTGCTTTTAATTTAACAGGAACATCACCATGTTGCACTACTTGATCATGATCTTTGAGAAGAACTACCCAGACACGTTGCACATCCAGGAAGACCTCAGGAGTGTCCCTGAAGCCGCCAAAGTCAAGTAAGAATATTTCTGCCCCCAAACTTCAGCATCAACTTTATGTCGTTTATAATACAAGGTGCAATCTACTAAAGTATGACTAATAACTGCAAACTTTTTTTCTCCTCAGTTTGTCAGAGTTGGAAAAAGAAGTGCACAACATCAAAAGCGGGCTGAAGGCTCTCGAGGCGGTAAGTTGGGCTGAATTAGTTTCTTTCTCCCTCCCGCTGGTTCTTCTGCCGCCTGTAATTATGCTTTTGAGCAGAAACAGTGATGTACGGCATACCGAGGTGTTTAAACGCTGCTAACGGTCGCCGCTCTGCAGCACGGCCGTGCCACACACAGAAGACTGAAGCAATTATAATTCATTTAGGTGTTTGGTAAACGCTCAGTGACCAGCTTTCTTGTCCCTGTCGCTTCCCACCAGGAGCTGCACTACCAGCAGAGCAGGATGAGGGAACGTGGGGATAAGTTTGTGGCTGTGATCGGTGACTTCATCACTGTGGCTGGGTTTAGCTTCTCTGAACTGGAGGACCAGCTGAGTGAAGCCAAGGAAAAGGTAACTCAATAACTTTCTGGAGCAAGCTGATGTCATCGGTTTTCCAATCTGTTCTTACTGTGGATACCTTGGCTTCAGAATTGCGTTATGTCAACATGAAATACTGAGTGAATTTAAGAGACCATCAGAGCGAAAGCTCATATGGCCACGTGGGTGGCTATAGTGGATCTGAAGGCAGTCATCCTCACTGACAAGCCTGTATGTCAAGCGGATTGAGGAATAAAAAATAAAAAAAGGTGGAATCTGAGAAGCATGAAGCCTCTGGACATCACCTCTGAGTCCTGTGGCGTGATTTCAGCCGGGCTGGGGAAACCCAGAATTGAAAGATTACTCGGGAATCCCCCCTCCCACTTCTTCTCTTTGTCTCTTTAAGTTAGAGTTTTAAATCCCCTCTCTTTCCATTTACAAGTGGAACAACTGGCCTTTTGAACTCCGCTGGCTCAAGTACTGATGTATGGTAGGATGTGTGTCAGCTGAAGACGTCAGTGGGTTGGAGAGAATGTTGGAGAAAGTCGGTGTTGAAAAGATTTATGGGAATATGTTTAATTTGCTGGCTGTCTGCGCTCCAGTTCGCATTTAGCACTCTGAATGCTTCTAAATCTCACAGAGTGGCACTTCAGCACAGATTTTACATTGTGCTGCACAATCTATCCTCTCTAATTAACGACTGTGTTGAAGAGCTGAACAGCTGTATTTCTCAGAAGAATAAACAGGTTTCAAGACAGACGGAAGAAACAGACATGGAACCAGGGTCGTGAGTTTCATGCAGAGCCTCCCTTTTGGTTAACTATTTGCTCAAGGAGGGGCGAATATTGGAGGGAACACAGTTTTTACGTCATGGGAGACGAACTGGGAAGAATGGGGCACCAGTTAGTGCAGTAAAACAAAAGAACCTGTGTTCTCCAGCCCAGAGTCCAAACACACAGCTGTGTATGTCTGTGTGGTTGGTAAGTGGGTGTTTCTCAAGGTCCTCTGATGGGCTTTCAGCGTAAAACAAATATGGAAGTCGGGATGTGTGTTTCTTCTTTAAGAAGGTGAAGGATGACCAAACAGATCAGCCCACAAAGACTAATAACACTCCATGGCAACAGATGTGTGTGGCTGCTACAGAAACAAGGCATTGCTATGCACAATACAAAGGGTTACTGTTGCAAAGGTCATGAATCACTTTGAGGTTTTTTTTTTTATTTTTTTAAAAGCAAAGTATTTCATTAAACTATAAAACCTTCTGAGTTTCTGACCAAGAAGGATACTCAAAATTAGATTAAAAACAAAAATTACGAGCTTTAGTGGGCCGTAAATATCCATGTTTTAAATTTAATCCAGTACGTTGTACTGCCAGGTCTGAACTTTTAAAACGGGCACTTCTAGATCTTTGGTAAGCTCTAAGTAATCTTGTAAGAGCATGCTAACAATAATTTCTTCAAATAATGTACAGATCGGCGAGCAATCATCAGAGCAGATCCGCCGTCTGCTTCTCCAGGTTTGTTTCAATTACTAAAAAATGTGAATGGAGGCAAAAAGTGAATCATGCTCATATTTCAATGACTACCAGCTGAAACGAGTGTGATGCCAATTGGTGAAAAACAAAAACTACAAAAAAAATTTCTTTTTTGAAAATTACATACAAACACAGTATTAATTCAAATATATGAATGTTGAAGACAAATTTGACTTGTTGCATTTTCTACAATGTTCATTGCATGCACCTTAAACTTCTAAAGTTCAGAATATTTAATTCTGAGTTCAAAATATTTTTTGAACATTTGGGTGAAATTTTATAAGTTTGTACAGTTGAAGCATTTTTCATGTTGCACTTAACATAAACTTGTATTTTTATGCACTTTTGTTATTTATTATACCAAGTGTTCCTTTTGTATTTTCAAGCTTAAGTTTTCTCAAATGTTTAGTGAGCACATAGTCACTAAACTAGCTAAGCTAGTGACTAGTCACCTAACTAAGTGGAGAAATGCTAAGTGCTTTCATAGGAGGATTCTTCTTTTCTCTGCTTTGTTTTGCCTGACACAATGAAAATCATATTCCTTCGTTCATTGAGTGTTTTTGTTTACCCATTTAGCTCAGATCCCGAGGGGGACCAGAGGAAACACTTCTGACCAGATACATAATTACAAGCAGAGGGGAGGGATGATGATGGGGTTGTTGTCATGGACACTGGGCCCATAATGACAGGATGGTTTTGCTTCCTCAGAAAAGAGCAACTGTGTTTTTCATCACAGCGCCGAGACCACATACAGAAAACTAGACGGTTATAAACAAGAGGGATTTTAAGATGTTCTGTCACTCGACACCCACATAGAAGTGGAAAAGGCATGCTGCATTTCTTTGCTTTCTTCTTGATTATTTTACTGCTTAGCTTACGTAACTGAATTTCCTCCAACAGTTTGGATGAAATTTGTATAGCTTTATATTTAACATCTGTACTTCTTTCATTTGTTAATACCTTTAAAAAAAATCCCAAGTTGTAAAATGAGCAAGTGGCAATAAAAATGATCTAAGTCTCTCCACAGTGTAGGTGAAAACTCATCCATAAATTAACCAATACTTACCAATGCTTTGCTATTAAGCTCATTACTGAGGCCATGGTCCTCTGTGGGGTCCGCACCTGTTCTGTTACCTTTAAAAGCTAATTACACACAAAAATCTCCACCAACTGGTAAAACTGTTGGTATTCACATACTTTTGATTGTAAGATGGGAGAAAATAAAACAAAGCAAAGGAAAAAAGTAAAAGTTATTTTAAAACATTAAAAAATGTTATGAAGTTATAGTTGCACGCATCTTTATTTCTGAGGTGAAATAGTTTGCATGGACACTCATTAGTTTCTGTATTAGCCAACAAACTAGTAACGGATGAAAATATATTATTTTTCTCTCGACTGATGAAAAGTGGACCGACGTTATTTCTATTTGAAGATGTGTCTGTACTGCAGAACAGAGCCAACTGTGTCGGAAAACGTTTGGCTCCAGGCAGCGATCTGGCACCAAGCACTGAACAGCTTGAACAGGACTGTGTGGACATACGGTGGTCAAATCAAGCAGCCTTGCTGCGATGCATGTGTTCCTGCAGCATTTAAGAAAATGAATTTAACATACCAAAGTTTATTTTGAAGGGCATCCATATGCGTGGCCATTTGATTGATTGTGGAAAATCTGGATAATTTCAGAAGATTCAGTTTGTGCATTCATTTGTATCTTAAAATACAACGTCTCTCTTTGTAGTTTGCCAAATCTCTGAAGCACTTTGGAGAAGAAGAAGGGAGGATGCAGCCTGACGACTTCTTCGGCATCTTCGACATCTTCTTGCAGTCGTTCAGTGAAGCTCGGCAGGACCTGGAAAACATGCAGCGGCGCAAGGAGGAGGAAGAGCGGAGGGCACGGATGGAGGCCATGGTGAGACACTCCCGAGAGGCTACGTCTGACTAAATGTACTCTCAACTTCTTCAAAATAACGGTTTCTTTCATCCTTATTCAGCTGAAGGAGCAGAGGGAGCGTGAGCGGCGGGCTAAGAAGGGCGGGGCCCCAGAGGAGGTCGGCGGGGAGTTTGACGACCTGGTCTCTGCGCTACGCTCTGGGGAGGTCTTCGACAAGGACCTTAACAAATTCAAGCGAAACCGGAAGCGCTCCGTCAACCAGCTAGTGGAAGGTGGTGGCCGAGAGAGAGCCGTCACCAAGGTGAATTACTAAAGTTGGAAAGAGGAAGTAGAAAAGCAAAACTTAAGAGAACTAAAATTTGCCGTGGCGTAGATCAACTTCAATCTAGGTCTTTGAACAGTCACGGCTTCCTTTGGAGCAGATGTTAGCAACAGCTGGACTGGACATGTAGAGACATCCACGGACAGCTACGCTGCCTCAAAAGATGCAACACTCTCCTCGGATTGATCTTCTGAAGCTGTTTCCGACCCGTTTATCTCCGTAGTTGGGATGGAAAGATGGACAGACCACTGTGACACATTGTCCCACGTCATCTAACTGTATCCATTGAACACTGTTCTTCAGGTTCTCCTTGTCGATCACTCCTGCTCTTCCTCAGAAACCTTCTCTGTTCTTCTGAGAGCTCTATGGTGCTGAAGTTTGGTTATCAGGATCAGAACTCTGGGATTAGTCAGTCACGTTGTATATATATAGACACCAAATGGAAAGTTTGGAAACTTTTGAAGCCTGGCAGGTTAAATAAAAACACAAAAGATAGATGAGGGGGTGGGGGGGTCTAAGCCATTACATCCACAGTTATGGTGCTTTTTCCCTGAGAGAAAAACAAGATTTTTCAGCCACAGAATGGATCTACGATCGCAAACCTCTGACACTAGAACAATGGGTATGGAGTCAAGAATCTCCTGTTGCTTCACAAAAATGAATCCCTACCAGTGGCTTCTGATGGCACACTGCATCCACAAGAACATACCAACTACAAATTTTCGAGGAAAAACAAAAAACTACTCCTCACATATAAAACTAGAACAATGATTGTGCCACAAGAATTAAGCCTCAACATGTGTAAATGGTTTGGAAGTCTTTCTGGCATTAAGTAGTGCCAAAGCAGAGAAGAAAAACCAATGTAAATGTATTTACACTAAATATTCTGCAATTAGGCATTGATATATATTTATATTTAGATGCAGACAAGCTAATTGCAAAGATGTAGAAGTTTGGGTTTTTTATGTTTCAGCATTTTGGGATTTTGTACACAATGCATTCTTTTATGGTGTTGCAGATTCACTTTGCTGTCGAACTTAACTTACTAAATATTTTGTGCTTGACGAATGAGAGGTAACTGCTCATCCTTTTTCACTCCTTCATGTCTCGTTTGCACTGTAGTTTTTTATGTTTTTGTTTTTTTGACAAACATTCAGATTTAAACTCTAGCCAACAAAAAAACGGATGACGGAATGCCATAAACAAACGTAAAGGAGAATTCCTCTTTAATCAGTTTACAATACTGTCGCTATCTGTAGCTACTTCTTCTCAGATCTGCCTGTACTACACTTCATCAGTTTCATTATTGATCCCCCATTTGTCTCAGACAAATGGGGTAATTGTTTTTCTTTTTGTTGCTTCCTTTTTTATTTCTTGTAACACTGGGGTATAACAAGGCACTTAAAATTAGACTAAATTGACTGGATACCAACAGGACACAAAGGCTCCATGCTTACTTATATTGGGGCTAGTGGTTGCCAAAAACACATAGAAGCTAGCTTTATTTGTTTTCATAAGATTTTCCAGTTTTAGTTGGGAGGTAGAGGGAGTTATTATTATTTGCACATGCTTTTCCAAAACTTCAGCAGCAGGAATGATGCGAGTTGCAATTGTTTGCAATATGTAGCTCTATTTCTAAAGGATACAGTATCCAGATCTAAGTCATCAGATCTAAACCATTTCAAAAACCATGACTTTTCCTAGTTTAATTCAGTCTAGGTTTGAATAACTAGCAAGCAACAGCTTGTGAGGCATCCAAGACTGCACTCAGTCTTTGGGAAAACGATGTTTGAACTCCTTGACTTTGTTCCGACGTTGCAAAAGAGACGCTTATTCAGTTTCCTGGAAAACAGAAGCAGTTGTTTCCATAGCATCAATTAAATTAAACCTAACCCACTTGTTTACAATTTTATTTATATTAGGTAAGAAATATCCCCACTCCATATTTAAGGAAAACCGTATACATCCATGTGCTCAACTACAAAAAGGACGTAACAAAGGCCTTTCCATTTGACCCATATTTTTACATCTTTTCTGCTAAATGTTTGTAAATGTTCACCGTTAAGTGCCTCAGATCCTGTTTTTTTTCACACAAATCATTCCTCTGTTTTAGTGTTTGTGGCTCTGCAGAAATCTGTTTTATATGGTCATTAAATTATAGTTGGTTTGCAGTAACTGGCGCCATCTTGCGGTCAAAGATGGTACAATTGATTTCCAAGTCAATCTAAGCTCCAGGTACTACACAAATCGCCTCAGAACAACTTTTTTTCTTTTTTCCTTTGGGCTGTGATTGACTGTATAATGTGCAGATAATCCCCTGTAGCTTTAATTTATCCTTTTTTGTCACTGTGACACCTCATATTTAATAAATTTAAGACCCAGATGTGAAGTTGAGATGGCGCAGAGAGCTGCAGGCTCTAGAGATTAGCCCTTACACCAAATTATTTAGACACTTTAAATTAAAAGGAGTCATCTCTTCTTAAACCAGCATTTTAATCTATTTTTGAGCTCTTCTTTTCAACCTCTGCTCTCCTTCCTCTTGCAGCTAATCAGTCAATATACCAGACTTCAGCAGACTATTTTTAAGTTCCTCATTTAGAGCTTCAACCCATTTAGTGCAGAGTATTCACAGAGGGATATTTGAAAAGTTGTCAGTATTAATACATGTTTGTGTTGTTACATTTTTGGATGCTTATTTGGCCATTGACTGGCTGTTTTGAAGTGTAAAGATGGAAATCAGAGGAAAGAAATTAGTAGCTTGTTCAATGCACTTTTTATAATGTTGATGATGATGATGAGACATTTCCATTTGCAGCACCAATTTCAAGGACTTGGCTCCTTCTGAAGACAATAGCTGTGCAGCAAATTAGTGTTGCTAAAAGTAAGGTGTGTAGAGAGAAGAATGGAAAGTGAGGACAAGGATGCTGGCATTTCAAACAAGTTGACAGTCAGTGTGAGCGGCAGGGATGGGATGTGGAAATTCATTTAAAAAAAGAAGAAAACTTCTTCGGGGTTTTGGGTGGGTTCTGTCTCCACCGTATTTGTTGTTACATGCACATGACGTTGTTCTGCATGCATACAGAAGGTCACACAAAGTATGATTTATTGATCATTTAAAAGAACATTGTTTGTAGAATGCAACCCACCTGTTACACCACGGTCTGTACCGCCTGAGAAAAGTCGCACCCATTCTTCGAGTTTGTATAATTGTGAGAAGTCAGTATTTTTTACAGTTGGAAATAATAAAAGAAATTAAAAAATGCTCCACTGAAAGATGTACAGTTGGAAAAATGAAAAGCATTTTGTACACCTTTGTTGATGTTTGAGGTAAGATTTAAAAAAAAAAAAAAAAAAAAAAGATGAAATCATTGAGGAATGTTCCATTGTTCCTGTACATTGTACCTCTATTTATTTGCCTTATTTAGTTTGGTATATTTTGTATGTACACACAGCATTACAGCAAAATGTTATATTAAAAATATGAATAATTGAACTGTGGTCCATGTTTGGATAATTCTGAGACTTGTACAAGAATGAACCCATTTTGTTTTGGTTTCTATAACTTCATTTTTGTATTTTATTTTCTCACCCCATGTCTTTTGTAGGGTTAAAATAAACTGATGTCCCTAAAAACTGATAGTCTCTGCAGCTGCATATTGTCTTGAAACAAATTTTGAGGTAATGTGGTGAGCGAAGTTTGAAGAGTTTTATTGAGGGTTTTATTGAGAATGTCTTTGTGCCGACTTGGATTTCAAACAAAAGTAGTACTGTTCCTATATATACGATTCCAGTGGTTTGATAATAGCTGTTATCGACGGGGGGTGTGGTGGCGCAGGGGTAGCGACCAACTCCCATCAGAAGACCTTAGTCTCATTACTCAGTCATTACTCACTTCCTGTGAACACGCTCAAATAAAGGTCACTAGAGCCAACAATATCTTTTATCTATTTAAAATAAAAGCTGTTAGCCTTTATTTAGCTTAATGTGATAATTCACAAAACTTCAGAACTATTTTGCTGTACTATGTGGACTTCTCATGATCTAAACTTTCACAGCAACCAACTCTTTAAACTTCAGGTACATCTTCAGATGTGTTTGAGAGAGTTGTCCTTTTCCAAAAAAGAATGTGCAACGCATCCTACATAAAGTAATAATTTTCATTGCTTAACAAACAAATCCTACCCTAAAGCTCCCCATTTTGTGCAATATAAACACAACAGTGCAGTAGAATATCTGATTTGAAAGCAACCGTGACTCTGTTTTGACAGCAATCAATCAAATTTTATTTGTATAGCACATTTCAGCAGCAAGTCATTTCAAAGTGCTTTACATAATAAACACAAAAAAAAAGTCATGTAACAGAATCAATAATCAAAAACTACATTGAGTCAAGTGCCATAACAATGCAAATAAAACATTTTAGGTACAATTGCAGCACTTTCAGCCAATCATTAAATTTGTAATTGATTACGTGTCAAATCCAATTCTAAACAGGTGCGTTTTTAGTCGAGATTTAAAGGAAGTCAGTGTTCCAGCTGTTTTACAGTTTTCTGGAAGTTTGTTCCAAATTTGTGATGCATATGCTGAAAGCTGCTTCTCCTCATTTTGGTTCTGGTTCTGCGGATGCAAAGCAACCAAAACCTGAGAGGTCTGGAAGGCTGATACACCATCAGCAGATCTTTAATGTATTGTGGTGCTAAACCGTTCAGTGATTTATAAACTAACAACAGTATTTTAAAATTTATTCTTTGAGCTACAGGGAGCCAGTGTAGAGACTTTAAAACTGGTGTTATGTTTCTATCTTCCAGGTTCTAGTGAGAACGCGAGCAGCAGCATTCTGGATCAGTTGCAGCTGTTTGATTGATTTGTTGGACAGGCCTGTGAAGACGCTGTTACAATAATCAATGTGACTAAAGACAAACGCATGGATGAGTTTCTCTAGATCTGGCTGAGACATTAGTCCTCTAATCCTGGAGATGTTCTTCAGATGAAAGAAGGTCGACTTTGTAACTGTCTTTATGTGACTCTGAAGGTTCAGGTCAGAGTCCATCACTACTCCCAGGTTTTGGGCCTGATTGCTACTTTTTAGTTGTAATAACTGAAGCTGTGCATTGACTCTAGATCGTTCCGCTTTAGGTCCAAAAATAATGACTTCAGTTTTGTTTCTGTTCAGCTGGAGAAAGTTTTGTCTCATCCACACATTAATCTGTTCTAAACATTTATTCAGTGATTGGATGGGTTCAGAGTCACCTGGTGACATCGTAATGTAGAGCTGTATATCATCCACATAGTCATGGTAGCTAATATTATTTCCTGTTATAACCTGAGCTAATGGGAAAATATAAATATTGAATAAGAGGGGATCTAGAAATAAACCTTGGGGAACCCCAAATGTGACCTTTGACCTCCTTGATGAGAAGTGTCCAATTGAAATAAAGAAACCCTGCTCTATATGTAAGATTCAAACAAAATATAAATTAAAAATAAAAGTTTTATAGCTCTCAAGTGAAGAAATTGAGACACATCAAAATGTTTATTACACAATCGAGACCAAATATTAAATACAGTGCTTAAAATTATATTTTTGTCTAGAACAATGCAAACTTCAAAAGTAATTCATTTCTTTAAGTACATATTTAAAGAGATAAAACATTTAATGCCATATTGGTTTCTGAGACCTACGCATATCTGTAGTAAAACAGCAGCTTTTGAAGAAGTGCAGTTATGATAAAAGGATGGTGGAAATGGTGCAGTTCTTCCTTCAATGGTGTTTCTGTTATCAGAATATATCTAAACAATCTTAACCTTTTCTCTCTTACTCTACCTCCAAATTAATCATCCTTATAGTTCATCATTAGTAATCATGCCAATCATTATCATTCCCAAATGAATGTTTCAGGCTTCAATTCTTCCCCTTCAAAACAAGCCTAGCAATAATCAGAGATCTTAATGAATAGAAATTCATTCGTTACCATAATAAAATTGTTAGAGGGACAGTTTTCTTGTTATCTTCACGAATCAAAGTTTATTGAAATTTGCTCAAAAGTTAGGGAGTACTAAAATATTCAAGAAATTGCAATTTTCTAACATTCCACAAGATGGAAGTATTTCACACACTGTTGATTTCAGACATATCATTCCGACATTATATGATTTCAGGACAAAAACAAAAATGTAGCTTATTTACATCAGCTACATTTTTAGATTTACTTTTGCAGAGTTCATTGTACCTGCTTTAAATGAGTCATCTATGTAGTTTAATCACTATGTGTTCAACCCCAAAGCCCTTTTGAAAAACCCATATAATTTCTCAACAAGCTCAGAGACGGACATCTTTACAGCTACATAAGTTGTAAAGAACAGTGCTAGGATTCTTGACATGAAACTAAAGTCCTCTTTAAATGATGCAATTGCACATGTGTTTGTGACTTGGAACAAAACCTTCCAGAAAAGAGGGATTTTTGTGATAGCAAATAGATTTCCCAGTGGAAAAGTATCAAGTCTAAACCCAACACGATACTGTCTAAGTGCAAAACAGATCAAGCTCAGATCAACAGCAGCAGAAAGCAGTGGAACTGGTAAGACAGCTCCAGCTGCAGAGATAACAGAATAATATTTTATGTTGGACAGAAAGATTTCTTTCTCTTTGGTTAAAACCTGCAGATTAAGGTTGCTCATGGCCAAACGCAGAGCATGCCTCTTGAGTTCAGGAAGTTCTTCCTCAAATGTGCTCTTTAATTCCTTCACACCTTGCAGGCTGACATCAGGGCTGCGCAGAAGGAAAACTTGTGGAGACTCAATTCCCAGCTCTTTGAGCCCTGTGTGGCAGAAAGGGCACAATATTTATTTGGAAGACAAATGATATATGACATGATAAACATTCCTTAAGTTAAAGCTCACGGTGCTTGTAAACATTAGCAAAATTAGATGTCAAGATGTTTCTGATTCATACCTTTCATGCGGTCCTCAGTGATTTTTTCCAGAGTCTTTTTTTCTGTAAAATCCACCCGACTTCGTTCTTCATCCCTTATATTATGGTTGACCTTTGAACAAACAAAGTAGAACTTCTTCCCCATCTTTTGGATCTCATTGGCCAGTTTCACATCATTTTCCCTGAACTGATTAGCTGAGAGGATGATAAAGAAGTCAAACTTCTCTAATTCGACACGCTCCACATATTTATCTGCTGGCCACATGGTGGAACCAATACCAGGAAGATCCCATAAGATGACTTTGGTGTAGTCTGGATGATGGTAGGAGGTGGGATTTGTGGTCTTGTTTTCACAACCAGTAGGTGCAGCTCCCTCACCATTGTTATTTATCCCTCTAAAAGCATTGACAAATGTTGATTTGCCAGTGCCAGGTTCTCCTGTAATGGCAATGTTTAGTTGAATGTTATCTGTTTCTTCTAAATATTTTTTTATCTTTGCTGCAGCAGCAGTTGGGTCAGTTTCCATCATTGCTCGAATTTGTTCATTTATTTCTCCATCAAGTGGACCATCCATGTTGAACCTTCAATAGAATAGAAACATATCGTTAACATCATTAAGATATTATATTTGATAACAGATCAATGTTTTGGCTTTCTTGATCATGTCCACCCATGTTTTGACCTTAAATGAAAAAAAGCTGCTGAATAAACTGCTTTAAAAATATAACATAATACAATCTTACAATTGATAATATATCATGTTTAAGAAAATACTTGTAATAAATATTAACATTTCTATAATAATTTTCACACTATGTGTTTCATTAAAGCCAAAGATTTGAATGTTTTCTGTCTTGAAAATACATGCCTTCACATTCTGATAACGTCATAAAAATAGCCTGTTTTTATGACAAAACATTTAACACAGACTAAAATATTTCAAAGCTGTGAACTAACCAAAACTTACATTTAGGACATAAAGAATCATTGCATTAGAGGAATCAAATAAAACATGTACTTGGATTTACCTGAGTATGCAGAATAACTTCTTGTGGTCTTGGGATCTTTGAAACTGAAGCAAAGCCTCCAGCAGGAACCTGCACTCAGAATATGTTGATGTTCAGCTGTTGATGTTCAGCTGCATGAAATGTTTTTTGGTTCTACTTTCTCCTCCTCATCATTTCCTATTAGCGTTGTAAATTTATTTTGCATCACATAATGTATACAAATTTATTCACAATGCTTTCTACTGGTGAATAGAAATTTAACCAAAACTACTAATGTGCATAGGGGTGTATCAGGTATCACATTCAAATCAAGGTACATGTGAAATTAATAATCTGCTTTAAGTTGAAATCATGTGACACAGGTCATGACTGTAGGTTTTCACTTATTTTGAATAAATAAATTATAGCATTCGATTTGTAACAGATTACAGTATTTCCTTTAAAACGACATGAAAAATATTGATCTGGAAAAACAAAACATGACACAAGACCAGATTTTCACAGGAGAACATAATTTCTGAATGGCACTGTTATAGCCTATCTTTAAGTTATTTGTAAACTGAAAAAACATATATTCCAGAACTGTGAAGTGAAAAGGAAAATACATGTTTCTAAAAAGCAACAAATTTATAATTGAGTGCATTCAGATAATAGATGCATGGAATTCTGCATGTATTGTTTATTCCACTAAAAAAAAAAATAAGGTTGGTACCACTAATATCGTTCAGAATATGGGTAAAATGTAAAATAAAAACAAATACAGGTATATTTCCTTGTTCAGGTCTGAAAACATGATTTTGTTAAATGCAAATCAAACCAAATGAATGGGAGGATGTTGCTCTGAAAACAAGCTCAGGCTCTTTACTTCCTCCTGTAAAGTTGTGACAAGTTTTTTTTTCTTCAGTTTTGAAAACATGATTTTGTTAAATGCAAATCAAACCAAATGAATAGGAGGATGTTTCTCTGGAAACAGGCTCAGGCTCAGTTCTTCCTCTTGTGAAACCAAGTTTACATTTAAACACTATTAATGGTGGTGATGTTCTTCACAAGAATCTCACATTGAATTTCTCTGCTTGATACAAGCGACAAACAGGGAGATTTGATTTATGTGGTACTAGTGTGAACAAGGCTTCAAAGTAAAAACCTGTCTTTATGGGATGGTTAACTGATCTCTGTTCTTCATGTCTACATTGCCCTGTACTTCACATTCATGTGTTTACAGGTCTACACCGTATTTGTGCACTGAGATCTGCCAGACTGGAGGTATATACCCTATTAATGACAAAAAACAAAAGAAAACAAAACAGGTGCATAATTACTACACAAGTTGTAGTTTTGAGGATTCATTTTATTAACTACAGCACTCTTGTTTAATCCAAAATGTTATTTGAACTAATTAATGTGAATTTGTTCATAGTTAATGTTAATTTCTCAAATATAAATAGCCAAAAATGAGATTTTGGCTTTCCTAGGACAATATCTATGTTTGTACAATTATTTAGCAACTATTAAGGTGCAGAATGATTATGCAACTGAATATAAGCTGAAAATGTTCCCCTCCCACTTATTTATTGTCTTCAATTAAAGTTAGAGTAATAAACATGCAACTCAAAATGACATTTTTGACTTTTAAAAAACAAATCAATGCTCTTTTCAAAAGCAGTTATAAGCCTCCCATTCATGGAATCTGCCAGTTTTGATATGTTAACAATCAATATATGTTAACAATCAACTTTTAGTGCAGCGGCTACCATAGCCTCCGAGACATTGTTAAGAAAGGTGTACTGCTTTCCTTCTCCATAAATGTCCTGTTCAAGAAGGACCCACAAGTTCTTAATGGGATTTAGGTCTTGTGAGGAAGGGGTCCACTTTATTATTCTTTCATCTTTAAGATCTTTATTGGCTAGCCACAGAGTGGAGGACTCTGTGATATGATGGAGCATTGTCCTGCATGAAAATCAAATATGCAGGCATTTTCCTGAACCACTGCTTGAAGAAAGTGCATTCTAAAATGTGGCAGTAGGTTTGGGAGTTGACTTTGAGTCAATCTTCAATTTAAGGTTTTAATATAAAAATAAGTCAAATTACCTATTACAAAGACATTTTATTTTGCATTAAACCAAAATCATCAACTGAGACAATAAGAATCAAAATAGCATCTAGTGACGCAGGTGTTTTGCTTTGGAAATGTTTAGTCATGAAGCAGAATGACATTAATAAATTCTTAAAATTTTTTGGACACATTATGCAAGCATTTGAGATCAAATCAGCTACATTCAGTGATGAGAAGGTTCTGCTTCGTTTTTATTCTGAAGAAACACAAGAATTTCAATATCCCAGTACAATAATGTATCTGTGCAAATGATAAATTTTCATTTCATTCACTAAAACAAAACCCGAACATGAAAAAAGTGGGTTCTACTTATTATTTCACCACCAAATGTGTTCTTTTTATGTTCCATGTAGCTTGTTCTTGATAGACAAGATAAAATAATGGTTTTCTTATTGTTTCAATAAAAGGTTAAAATAAATAAAACTGAGAGATAGTTAGAAATATCTGCTACAGACGGGACACCAACAGCCGAGAACCAGATCTACACAACTTTGAACACAGTTTTTGACACTATCCAAATCAGTCACTTTGTTCTTGGGAAATCACTTCTTTTTGATTAAATTACAATGGTATCATTTTTATTTTTCTCTTTTATCCCTGGAATTTATGATGTCAGCATGCAAAAATTGCAACAAAAAAAGGTAATTTGAAATAAGGTGAATCTTTATTTGATTTGGCTTGAATGAATGACTGAGTGGCTTATTTCTACAATTATATTAAAACAATCAAGAGTAAAGAACAAGACTGTTAGACATGTGTAGACTGAGAGGGCCCATTTTAAGGCTTTAAGATTAAAAGGAAAACAGCTAACTGCTAAAATTGGCGAGCAGCTTTGTTTGATATCCAGTATGACACAAATATTTATGAATCAGAATAATGTTTTATTAAATTACTTCAACATGTTAGCACCATCATTAATGCAGATCATGATTGTTTCATACAATATCTGTCAAGTTTTTTGGATTTAAAAGAAAACGGTTTACTTTTAAATGAAATAAAACTCCAGTTTGTTTACTTTTTAGTTCACGTTAAATTATATCTGGATTCAAACTCAGTGAAATAATTTTTTCACAGAGTCCCATAGTTTCTACACAAAACTAAATATTGTACTATGGATTTTCAATAAGTTCCCAGAAACTTGTCTGCTTATTTTTGAAAAACCTTTAGAAGCTATGAGGACATTTGAGGTCAGTGAATGCAACGTTTTATTATGACAAAAGAAACCAATGCTCTCACAATAGTGAGGATCACCATTGTTTTATGTAAAACCCATATAATCTACAAAGGGCACTACAGAAGTTATGTTAAGTACAGAAATGCAAATATCAATTTTATGAAGTAAGATAATGAAAAGTTAAACTGCTTTAAACTAACACAATAAACTACTAAAAAAATACATTCATGATGATGTTAGGTGCAACAATGCCAATCAGATATGGTTGTGAAATATAACTTCAGATAATTAAAAACATTCATAATGTAAACATTATCAACATTCAGAAAAACATTTAGGTTTGTAGCGTCTGATGACCAAAAGAGAAAAAATAAGCTCATGTATGACACTGATAGTTTTTACTAAACAGAAATTAGACAAATTAGACACAAAACATTGTTAATAATTAGAGATAAAGACAAATTATTCTTCAAGTGATGTAAAGGTTAGTTGAAATTACAAATCAGATTTTATTATGTGATTGAAGCAGCTTTTAAAGAGAGACAGATTGAAAAAGTCTGGAAAACAGTGGAATGTCCTTTTGATATATTCCAAAGACAAAAGCCTAATAATGATTATGAAGTGATGTGATTTTGTGTTGATCTGTATCCGATAGTAAAAGCTGCTGCCTCCTCTTGCCACAGCACCTTTGGGTTTTTCCACTCATGAATAGAATAAACTAGCCAAATAGCAAAAATGTTAGTTCAGGTTAAATTGTACTTGCGGTTTTTAAGTTTGATCTGAAATACAGAACATTTATTTTTCTTTTAGAAATTAAACAAAAATGCCAAGATTCACAACACATGCTTCTGTCAATGTTGAGTGGGTGTTCCATTCTTAACACTCCTGTTGTCTTAAAGACGGGGGTCTTTTGTTTTGTGTGTGTGTGTGTGGTTTCGGAAACTGGAGCTCTAACTGAATACTCCTCCAAGCCCCCTGTTCCACTCACACTTCCCCGCTGTCAGACCGTGACATCTGCTGCAGTTCTCCTGAGAATCCTGCCAAGACTACAGACGGGTTACGAAAAGAGTTACTGATTTTGAAATGGAATTGATCTCAGAACAAATGCAAGAAAGCCATTTTTTTTTTCTGTTAGATCCTACAAATTTTAAGACCTGACTACTACTCAGGTAGGTTCAAAGTTAAAAATTTGTACTCAAATGTCCAGAAAAAATCTAATTGTTTTTGTATAAATTTGGAATTTTTTGATTGTGTAGCAGCCAGAGTTATTGGTACACATTTGGGTTTGCAGAGAAGGACTTTCTTCATCTTGCAGTTCAGTTTTCCTGTGTTCATTGACGGTGAAAGTCTCTCTTCCCACCCGTCTTGCTGAGCAGTTTCACATTCGTGATGACAATGTCATGGCTCACAGACTTACACATATCGTAGACTGTCAGTGCTGCCACAGAGGCAGCCGTCAGCGCCTCCATCTCCACCCCTGTCCTGCCTGTGGTGTGACAGGTCGCAGTGATGATAACAGAGCAATGCAGCTCATCCAGCTGAAATGAGATGGAGGCGTGGTCCAGTGGAAGCGGGTGGCAAAGCGGGATGAGGGCAGAGGTTTGTTTTGATGCCATGATGCCGGCCAGCTGAGCCACAGTTAAAGCATCACCTTTGGCCAGCTGATTGTCTTGGAGGAGGCGGAAAGCGACTGCACCCAGGATAACAGTGGCACCAGCTGTGGCTGTTCGATGCGTGGCAAGCTTCCCTCCAACGTCCACCATTGTTGCTCGGCCCTGGGCGTCTGTGTGCGTCAGCTGGGCTTTAGCGCTACTGGGACTGTCTAAGGCTGATGGGGTCTTATGCACGTGGTCTTCACCAGAATTTTGACTGTGAAACAACCTGACACTTGGATTTGTCTGATTTATTTTGGCATTCAGTGTGCAAAAAGCAGAAAGGGACTGACTCCTTGGGCTGTTAGGAACACTGGTCTGTGTGTACCTGAGGGGGTCTTCGTTAATGAAGCTCTCATTTGTGCGTTTCTTAGTGTGACAGCTGGTAAAAATGAGATTGTAATCATCGTCCGAGGAGTGAAGCGGTGTCACACCATGGCACTTCTCTTTGCTAATATGGGTCTTGAGTGAACCGCCACTCATTGAGGTCTTAAAGCAGCAACTAAAGGCTGTTTGTGTTGAAGCAGTGCAGCCAGGAAGGCACAGAAACTCCTTCTGAGACTCATCAGAAGATGCAGTCAGATAAAGGAACGGGTCACATTTTAGCTCAGTAAAGATGAATGAAGCCCTTTGTCGGTTTTCTGGCTTTGTGACAAACATCTCAGAGAAATCTGTCACACCAAAAAGAGAAAACATGTGAAAGACAAGTTTTAAAACAGAATAATTCACGAGCAAAAAGGCAAAAGAACATAAAAACTGATTACGTACAGCTGAGTCACCCACCAATGAGGACCATAGGTCTGTTCTTCATCTGAGAGATACTGAACATGCCTGAAGAGAAAAACAAACGAATTACTTCCTAGATAAATAGATTAACTGGTAACTACCACACAACACTGAATGGGCGTTGACCTGCATGTTGCTTCTTCTTCCTTCCCACAGCAGCTCCTATAATTTGCAGCAGCTCCTCATCAGATGCTCCAGAACGGAGAATATCTCTGAGGGAAACTTCAGAGTTACCGAACAAACACACCTGAGAATCAAAGAGGAAAGCCAATCAAAAACAAGAACATATAGAGTCTTAATCTTAGCCATGACTTCTGGCTTTTAGTTTATGCATTTTATGAAAAGCACGCTATAATGTTTGAGAAAATTTGATGAAGTCAACCTTTACCTTGAGGTTTCCATCTGCAGTGATGCGCAAACGGTTACAGGAGCCACAGAAATTGTCTGACATGGAAGTAATGAAGCCCAGCTGACCTTTGAAACCAGGGACTTTAAAAGTCTGAAAGCAGAAAGAAGTGTTGAAGAGATTTTAGGGATCAAATTTAGTGATTATGAAATACAATTGGAGTTCAAATGGACAGTTTGTGTACTTTTTTCTCAGCTCTGCTCCTAAACATTACAGACTTAAGAATCCAATGCACTGCTTCTCATAGGACTGTTATAGGACTCTTAAGTCTATAAGACTGATCAATAGCATAAATTGTAAACCCCTTCGGTTTAATTTATACAAGCAAAACAAAAAAAAGACTGCAGCTTCCTCGTTTGAGTTGGAAAGAGAGTTGATAGCTTATAGTCCCAATCTATAGATTACCATTAGTACATCAGCTAGCTTCAGTTTATTAACTCATGTTAACTAAAGTGTTGTGACTTTACAGTTTAGCTTTGTAAACAAAAAATTTCTAATACTCTTAGTGAGATTTTTGCATTGACTGAAAGTTTTCACTCCTCGTCTACAGTCTTACTATTTGCATTTTGCAGGCTTTTTATTTATTATGTTGCTTCTGTATATTTCTTAACTTTCCGGAAGTCTTCTGATGTTTACTTAAAATGCTTCTGCAATTTTTTAGAAAAAATATTCATGTTACAAAATTCACACTACTTTTTTGCATTTGTGTGAATTCTGCATTTTAATGTTATGGGAACTGAACTGAATCTTGAAATTTTTGGATTATATATACACTATTTTGTGTGTAATTGTGATATGGAATTATATATAAAATCTCAATAATATACACTTACGTTTGTTGTGGTATCATAACACAATTTTAAAAAGCTTAAGAAGTGAGAAAATATTTGTAGTATATAAAAATTATGTTCCATCAGAAGTGGAGAACCTGACCTTGGCAGTGTCAGCAGGTCCAGGCTGGAGCCTTTCCAGATTGGGCCACTGCTGTCTGATCTGGTCCAGCATCTCCTGGTAACTCACCATCTTCTTAAAGTTCCACTTGTTTCCTGCAGGGACCAGAAGAAGCCAGGCTGAATTTGTCCAATGGATTTGTGCTTTAAAAAAAAATATCTACAAAAAAATCTTCTTTCACATGAAGATACATGCCTCCCTGACCTGAACCGAATCAATTTGTGAGAAGAAAATACTCACCGTCAAATGGCATGTACTCAATGAAGCGAACCTCCAGAGGCTTCTTCTCTGTGAGTTGCACAAAATCCAAGAGCTCATCCTCATTCAGGCCTCTCATCACCACACAGTTGATCTGTAGATGGCAGCACACAACAATAGACCAAGGCTATATAACCATAAAAATGTTAAATACAAGGCCTCAAAGTGGGAGGAGATTTTTTTCAGTGTGATAAAAAGAGGCTGAAAAGAGGCTGAAAGGTCTGTAATCAACTGTTTGACGTTGGCAATATGATTTAGTGCAACAGCAGTTCTCTGATCAGACAGTAGAGGTCACTCTAATGAAGCCTTCAAGATGACTAAAGTCTTGAAAACTACCCAGTATAGTTTGGTACAGCCCAGTTTGGTTTAGGCATTTTAATTACTCATCTTTCTTTAGACTAGTTAAGTTCAGGCAGGTAACTGACATATTGCCAAGTGCAAAATGCAAAATTTGCTTGTTTTCACACTTTACTGAATGGTTGAGTAGTGGGTCACTGTCACACAATATTTATGATCCAGTGAAACAAAGTCGTAGGAAGGTAAATGTCCTTCGATTCCCCGATGAAGTAAACATTTTTAAATTGCTTCAGTTTTATTTTATATAAATTGTCATCAGTACCAATAAATATGGCACCAGTTATGTTCTCACAATTATTTCTAACTGAGATTAAATTAAAAACATAACTTAAATAAAAAAAATACTTTTCAGTATCATAATATGTTTCTGTGGTGAAAGAGGAATTTTCTGAAGCTTTTTATACATACTTAAAAAAAGTATGACCATAAAGAGTAATTTAAGAAATGTTTCATTATGAGAAATGTATGATTATTCCTTAAGTTTGAAGCATACCTTGACTGGATTATAGCCCAATTCAACCGCTTTGTCAATGCTCTCCATGACTTTATGAAAACCTGAGGAAAAAGATAAAGGCTAGAAGTGTCAATAAAAGTTAAGGGCATTGTTAATAAAGAAGTTACTGAAATCAACACAAAAAATAAACATCTTCTACTTTAGCTTTAAAGGCTTTCTTTCTTCATAACTTCAAATGTAAAAACATCAGCATCCAATCCCTCTGCAATAGTCAGAGCTTTGTGACAGTCAACTATAGAGAATAGGACCATTTGTTTCTATGAGCAGAAAATAAAATAAATCCAGGGAGCTGCAGAGATTTATTCATCTCTTTGGGAGATGAATAAATTGATCAACCACAATGGAAAATAAATATCACATTTATTGTCCTACTAATCTCAAACGTTAAGATTATTTTCAGTTTGCAATTTTCAGCATCTAATCTCAAAATAATCAGACAGTACTGTTTCCATGTTCTGGTCTTTTTCTCCCGTTTAATTTCCTAATCTCATTCGGTCCATCTGTCCCTGCTTTTCTTTAGCCAACCACCCAGAGCTCTGGCCTGCTGCTGCCTCCAGGCTGACTGCCTGGGGCTTACGCACTCCTCCTGTAACCTGCTGGGGTTTATCAACAGCCACAGCAACAAACAAAACACACTGATTCTGTCTTTTAGCAGTTTTGTAACTCAGGATAGAAAAGGATCTGCCTGAATGAATCCCCAAATGTACTTCATCATCAGATCTGGCATGTAGGATGAATATGAATCTGTGGAAAAGTTCCTCGTCCCAAATGCCAAGTATGGTGGAGGCTCTGTGATGCTGAGGGCCAGATTCTCTACCTCAGTTTTTATTTAAAATATCCCTTTCTCTGTTTGCACCAACCATGTTAAATTTCACAGGAGAAAAGTAAGAGCTGTTCTATGGGTAAAAGAGGGATGAACAAAGTATTAACAGCACTGATGCCAAAACATTCTGCAAATAAACAACAGTTTATTTTATTATGTGTTTGCTAGGGGAGTCTGGATGCACTTCAACAGTCATTACAGGTTAAATCTTTATTCTCACCTTTTCGTCTGACTACAAACTCAAATTTTGCTGGAACCAAAGAGTCGAGGCTGATGTTAATCAGGTCCAGTCCAGCATCTTTCAGTTTCGGCAAAAGTCGGGATAAGTTAATGCCGTTGGTTGTAACTGCAACAGTTTTCAGACCCACTAGCTTTTTCAGTTCAGCTGCAGAATTAAAAAAAAGCAAAAGAGAAAGATGAAAGAGTGAAGAAAAATGTATTCTACAAAACAAACCAAAAAAAACTAATTTTTGTGGTTTAATCTCAAATCACAAATAATTTATACATCTTTAATGCCTCTTGAAAAAACGGATAGGATTTAAATTTTAACTGTTCTCCAAAACACATTACTCAGCATTTTGTAGGACTTCATTCTACAAATACCTACAGAGCTCACAAAATACTCATAACTTATTACTGTTGCAATTGAAATAATCATGTTAAAATATTGTAATAAAGTAATGGCATCTACTTGGTTCTGCTTTGCGACAAGACAGCTTTAGATGACACTGACAGCAGAATAGCCAGTGGTTCTAATCTAAATACATCAACCATTAAATTTAATTCAAAAGCAGCAAAACCCTTGCATAGATTGATGACATAAATCTTTCTTAACACTGATTGTGTTTGAGACTTCTGGCTCTTTCTTTGATATTTTATAATCTGTGCGTATCATTTTTAACCAAATATCTGTTAAAGAAATCTCAATTAAAGGCAAAAACATAATGATCTATAGAAAAGCAGTGGACTAAAAGGTTAATGTGAATTTTCCACTGGATTAGTCCTTAAAAAGAGTCACCTGACATCCCACTGGTCACGTGACCCATGACACTGCAGTAAGTTTTTATCTTTATGCTGCAGCCCTTAGTCCTCTTTATGTGATTGTGTTGTTCACAGTATAAAGGCTACTCCAAGAGCAGAGGTTGAAAAGGTTTAATTTACAAACAAGGCTGTAAAATTAAAGCAAAGATAACCAGTCATTAAACTGAACCAGCAGTTGCGATGCGACAATTATCTTCACTTCCCCAAACTTTTGTGTCAACCTGAAGGAATGCAACAAAAATCTGTTTAGTTGTGGTGCAGTCAGCTGGGCTGGCACATGGGCCACCGTCTGAGACGACCGTTACAACATCAATCTGATCATTCAGGAAGCCACATAAACAACCCTGTGTTCTGCAGAAGCTTTCAGAGTTATCAATGAGAGAAACAAAAAAGGCCTCTTCAAAGGAATGTGTGTGCTACTTGAGAAATAATTCATTCAGATCACTAAAGTAAGTTTAACTGTAAAAACAAATCTAAGCACTGTTTCGGGGCATTTTGGAGAAGAAGAGCCTCTTGCATTTTGCATTTTAATCTTCCTGCTGCTAAGCCTTGAGCTTGTTATCTCAGTAGGAGGAGCATTTATGAGAGTGTTGCCCATTGTTCATTCTTTTGATCTGACAAAGATCATGGTTTCATAAATATTGTTTATAATTAATAAATCTGAGCAGAAAGGAGTCACAAAGAGAAGCCTTTTGTTCATTCTTGCAGATAACTTCTGACATCCTAAGCCTCCATCTTTGCATTGTGCTCATTTTGACAAATCACATTCAAAAGTTTCAATGAATTTTATTGGCATTTTATTTGACAAACCGACCAAAAAGTAGTGCTTCAATGTTAAGTAGGTAGGAAAATGTTACAGTCATCCAATTTAAATGCGTGTATTTTTATCCAAACACTCTTTTTCACTTCACAATTACACAGTAAGTTGTTAGTTTAGCACATAAAAATCTTAATAAAGCACTATTACATTTATGACTGCAATAATAACAAAGTGTGAACATGTTCAAGGTCCATAAGTGTTTCTTACCAATGATATCCACAACATCAGGTCTGATGAGAGGCTCCCCTCCAGTGAGTCGGATTTTATCCACTCCCTCGCGGACGAAGAGCTGAGCGAGGGTTAGCACCTCTGAGGTGGAGAGCAGCTGGCCCCGCGGCGTGAGCTTCACTCCCTCCTCCGGCATGCAATACTGACCTGAGCGACAGGAACATCCAACATGTGAGCGAAATAAAAACATGTCCTTATAGACACGACAAATAAATTACTAATACATGAAGTACTAGAATGAACTTAAAAGTCAAAATTTTGTAACATGAACCTCATTTATTAGACAGGCCATTATCCAAAAATCTAAATTCATGCAAACTACATAATCAAAATAATGTAATTATTTAAACACAAATGGTATGAGTAAAATTTTAACCCTTTAAATCTAGTCCTACAAAAATATAACTTGCTCTTGACTATTGTGATAAGCCATTCTTGTACTACAAAGATTTGCTTGTTCATCCATCTAATACGTATTTTTTGCTGAGTGAAACAGATTTGATCTAAATAGGTTTGTTTAGTAAACTGACTATTTCAGTTTGTTGCTTTCATTTAAAGCAATAGTTAGGAATATATTTATTTTAAAATAAAACGAAAATATTATTGACATATTTCGTTCAAGCACAGTGGACCTAAATATTTAATGAAAAAAAAGAAAACCTACTAAGATCAATTTAAAACTTGTAGGTCTTGGAAGGAACAAAACAGAAACTATCAAAGTTACATCCTTTGATTATGAAAAATTAGTAAAAAGGGTATTATATTATGTGCAACAAAGAACTGAAAACTACAATTAAACTTAAAGAATGCCAACATGTGGGCTTAAATTTTTGCAAGCAATGATAAGTCAAATGGAAAAAACTTTTGACAACGATGGTTGTGAAAGTTCTTCTTGAGCGCTGTTGCTTCTGCAGCACGGAGACAAGTCCATCAGATCCACCACAATAAGCCATTACAATTTAGAGTTGTAGATAACACAACAAGTGTAATCAATACGTTTTGTTATTTTATCAGCACACACATTACCTTGTTTGTTGTAGTACATTTACTCAGGTTTTTTTGTACAGCCTCCCAGCCCTAGTTTACTCACAGCGGAGGTTGCATTTCTCAGTCAGAGAGATGCGAAGATAGTTATGTCTGCGGCCAAAGCTGTCGGTCAAGAAAGCTGAAAACGGTAGGACCTTCTCATCTGTTAATCTCTCCTGGAAGAGAAAACCAGAAGAATAGATGCTAATAAAAAAAAGTGTATTTGAACCACTGTTGACAGATACATTTGTTCAATTAATAGAAATAAACAATATAATTTGCTTCTAAAAAGCTGGAGCAAACACTTTTCCAAATGGCCTGTGACCTATACATGCCAGAAACTATAGGCGAAAAGGCCAGAATGTGTAACCCCATCAGATGGAACACAGATCTCATCTGAATCTGTACTCATCATGTGAGGCGTAGCAGCAGAGAAGCAGTGTTAAATGCAAAGCCTAACAAAAACCCCACTAAAAATAATCTTTTGATTTCCGAAACTAAAACGCTTACCAAAATAATCCAATCCTATATCTTAGTGGAATGTTTTCACTAGCATTAGAAGTTGGATGAATATAAGAAGCAGTATTAAGCTGTCAGGTTAGCATGTTCATGTAACTCTAAGATAGACTTTGTTTAAGGTAATGTTACTGATTATGTCATAACATGAATTTTGCTGCAGAAATAGATAACTTTTCGCAAAAAGGGAATCTAAGTCATAAAAAGTAAAACAAACATTAGGTTTATTTTTGCACATCTTGGTCATTTAGAATGCAGAACTTATTTGTAATATTAAATCTGATGTATTTCTAGTCAGCATGGTGTTGGTTAATAATCAACCCGGAAGATGGTCTGATTCAGGCCTCAACGTGAACTCAGACTACAGTTCTTTAACAAGCACTTTATCACCGAACTTCATTAGCAAGAACCGGGAAAACTGCAGAACCCGGAGCTTTAGCCTGCAGTCTGCATCCCAGCACCAGTCTTACCGGTCTGGGTCTGCTCCGGAAGTTTGCAGCAGTCACTGAGGTATTTCTAAGCTCATTCTCCTGGTGCGTAGCGCTGGAAAACAGCCGCTGGCCGCTTCTGCTGTGGCACCGAGTGAAAAACGTTCTGGCGTTTCTCAAAGTGCAGCAGACGCGGGCTCCAGCAGCCATGTTAGTGTTGCTTTCTGACGGCTCGGACACCCAGTGCTGGTGAGCTTCTCTACAAACATATCAGTTCACCCTGAGAACACCGGGGGACCGTCAGGGGCGGACACTCATCAACCAATCATGTGAACAGACGTATTTCCCACTGCATGCCGGGTAATGTAGTTTCAAATGCTCCCTTAGATTGGATTGCGGCAATCAGTGTATGTGGTGGTATTTGTATGTAGGGATTTTAGTAGTTTTACTTAAAAACAGACGGCATATTTAAACCATGTAAACGAAGCAAAAATGTTTTTAAAAGAAAAAAATTAGTTATTGCTAAAAAGTGTATTATTGTGTTTGTTATAAACGGTGTGGGATCTTATTAAAAATGCATTATTAGAATTGTGTCTAAAAAGTAATTGTGAGTTGTTTTCTTTTCTTCGTCCAGTGTTTGTATAAGAGACAAGCCACAATAAATTCAGTTTAAAATAAAGTGACTTGGTGCAACATTTCAAATTGTTGCACCAAGTTAAAATGAATATAACACTGGTAACCTCAAGTAAACCTCTAATCAGAGCCGAACCTTTTGATCACTAAAACAATTCTCTAGGATGTAAAAGTCGCATAGAAACCCATAAAAACTTTGAGGACCATTTCGTCTTTTAGCCACTAGAGGGAAGTGCAATTTAAAATATTTGTTCCTCTCTTCACATTTCTACATCAAGTGAACCTAAAATGCATTCACAGGTGTTTTACATTTAAGGGATTTGTTCTAGTTTTGCTTATATTTTCATATATATTTTTACATTTATTGTGTTCTTTTGTTGCAGGTGTTATATTTTAGTAATGTCTTGAAATACATGCCATTTTGGCCAGGACACCTTTATAAATAAGATTGAAGGGAAAAAAAATACAGATGAAAAACAGTGGAAATAAGAAGGAAGGTACATTTACGGGCTACAAAATGACAAAAACAGAATCTCATTTGCAAATGTAATTGCAGGAATTTAATTTCTATCAAATTTTATCCTGAGAACACACACACACACAAGCACATGCACGCACACACACACACAAAATTCTTGACATAACAAATAATGACCACCTCCAAAGGCTATAATCAGAAAAACAACTGTAGATTCCTGGTGGTTTCTGATGAGGTGTATTGTATTCAAGACTCCTTTTTTTATCTCAACACTGTTTGCTTTTGGTGTATATCTGTGTGAATAACTGCTAAAGTCAACCAAGCTCATTGTTTACCTCTTTCTCTAATATTTGTGTTGTTGTAAATGAGAACTATTCACGTAAGCGAACCTCACCAACAAGTGAAAATGTTGTGTTTTTTTAGGCATCTGCTCTTCTCACACAGTCAAAAATCTGCAAAAATCTGAAATACGCTGTTGTCTGGGTGAAGATATATCTACAGAATAAACAACTTTGCACAGATGATCAGAATCTGAGTCAGAGTTTACTTAAATATGAACCGAATGTCATTATTCATCCTGTTTCAGCAATATGTCGCTATGATTGTGATTTAGCTTCACAGGTTGTAGCACTCTAAACCAAAATATGATCTTGGATTTTTTTTTTCTTTTTTATGGATTTTGCTTAAAGCCATTTTGCAACACCCTCTTTATTATGAATTCATGAAAAATGCTGAACATGGAGAAAAAGCAGAATTAATGAGTCCCATTTAAAACTTGTGCCATTCTGCATTAAGTCCTGCAAATAATATATCTGCAATTAAACTGTGATTTTGTATGCAGAAAAAACATAATGAAGAAATATCCTCTGCTTTTTTTTGAAGCAAAGATAGATACAACTTTACTCTTTGATCATCTGAAGTTTAATTTTATTGTTCTTTTGACTCCTGCAGACTTTCCTGAAATTTGCAGGTCAATCCTCAGTGCTGGATACTTCAAGTGAATTTAATTGCTTTTTGTTTATTTTTTTGTTTTTCAATTCTTTGAAATTAATATGTGAAAATAATTTCACAAATTAATTATAGGATCCAGCCCCCAAAACTAAAGTTTAAGTTGAAGGAAAGTCCCCTGCACGTTCCATAAAAACACCCATTTTTTGGTAAAGTCTGGCTTGTTCTGGCTTTACTGCGCCTCCTCCTGTCTGAAGCTGGTATGGGCTGAAACAGTTTTTGTGTGGGATGATGCAGGATGATCTGCTTCACCACCAGCTGGTGTAGATTAAGCATGGTTAGGGTCATTTATGTTTTTGTCTTCGGTTTGATTCTGTTAGCCTTGCAGAGTTCAGTTACCTGCCTTCTGGTCACTCGTCGATCTCCCTCTGCATTGATAAACAAAGATTTTCAGCTGTTGTTTGAGCTTCCACTTATTTGTCTGCTAGCAAGAACAAAATATTTGATTTTTTTGTTTTACTGCTCATCACTGTTTTACTTGCTGTGACATGCTTCGGAGATTTATTTGCCTCAACATCTTCTGCTATCCAGAAAATGTGTTGGACAGGCTTAGAATTTCTCATTGGATTACGTTCATGCGCATCGTTTTGTGTGTTTGTCTCAAGGTTTTTTGTGTAAAAAAAACTTTTATTTGTACGGTTTAACTGTGGAAGTTCAGAAATTCTTGCTGGTTCACAAGTTTGATTGCTTTGTCATTTGCCCAAGGTGGGTGGGCAAATGACGTACCTCTGCAGAGGTTCACACTTGATTTTCTCTGCTCCAGCTGCCATGTTCATGTTGCTTTCTTTCTTGTGAAAATTGTTCATTTTAACTTAGCTAACCTTTAATTAAATAAATCCACAATTTTTCTCATCTGTGTTGCTCTTTATAATGAAGTTATGACGTAGGCTGGAATAGTCCCTTGTGGATAAAAGCGGCTAATTACATTTAGGTCTAATATTAAGTTGTTGAAATTTCACTTTTTTGTTTCACAAAACTTAAAATCACCAAGTATTTTTTTATTTATTTATTTTATTGTTTGTTCTTTTGACTTTTTTCCCTTTGGTATTCAATTCTTCTAATTTGATCATGTCTCGGTGAGATCACTGCAAATAAATGTTACTAAATACATACTGTACTTCCCAAACACTTTGACTCTTTGTGTTGACTATCATGTTTTTTTTTGGGGGGGGGGCTTTTCATCACTTTCATCACTCCTCCTTTCTGTACTCAGCTTTGGCGGCTTCTTCAGTCTGTAAAACTGATTCTTAATGTTTGTTGTTTTTTTCCAGATTTATTCTTTTAATCCTTCTAAGGTGAAGGATTGAAGATCAGATGAGAACAGGAAAGAGATGCTCACAGCTTCTAATGCAAAATCTCTGTGTTCATTTTTAAGATGCAGGTTTAACACTGAGCATTAATTAATGTGGTGGAGGTTGGACACAAAGCCTTGTGACAACTACATCAGTGCATTTATTAGAGACAGCATAAATCTAAATAATATCATTAATTATAATTCTTTAACAATCACGCAGTCCGTTTTCAATACCAAATGTCTCTTTTTCACATCTACGGGAGTGTTGCAGTCTGGATGCACCCAAACCCAGCGTGAATATGAAGCACGCAGCTCTTGTTGGATCCAGGAGAGCAGGTGCCAATCAAAGCCTCGATGAAAGAGCTCCACGTCTCCCGTTTTCGCTCCGCTCCTCAGCTCTTGGTGGATTTCTGTATGCCCGCCTGCTGGTACCACCCTCTGTGGTTGTACCAGTGGTGGTAATTATCCTGTCATGACACAGCAATTAAGCAGGGGTATTTAAAACTAGTGCAGCTCGTGGAAGTGATTTCTTAAATCACAGGCTTGCTTCCCACTCTCGCCCCTGCAGCACACTCTCTCCTGCTCTGTGTGGGAGTCATTTACTATTGCAAAAGAGGGAACATAAATTTGCATATGGCCAGCACCATGTGGTGTCACACTCTTACAGCTAATTTCCAAGGGTTGTTATGTTCAGGGTGGTGTAACCGAAGGATTAAAAACATTAATGTCTACATCCAGTTGCGTAAAGACAGAAGACAACAGAGACATTTAAAACCTTGTAATTTAATGTGCCTCTAAACACATGTTAAACTTGTACAATAAAAATATCATAAAGACTAAGAATATGGAACCATATTGGTATTACAAGACTTTGTTATAACTATAATTTTAATGTCCATTATACCTGTAAGGTAAAAGCGCGAGTTGCATCCTTTTCTGAGCTCAGACACTTTTTTTCTATTATTCTTGTAATCAATATTAGCATATTGTAATTATTTATACATGTACACAGAAATACCTTTTTCTATGTCAACCAAGGGAATAATCTTCAGGAGAGCAGTGCTACTACATCAGTAATGTTTATCTAAGAGTCTCCCTTTTGAGACAGAGAACAATGTATTGAAGGATTTAAACTTTGCAGCTTCTTTCTCTATGGACTGGAACTTTATTGCTTTAGATATATTAAATTTAGCCTAAATGTTCAGTTCATCAAATGCTTGATGCTGCATATCTGTATGTTTTTGTCTCCATGGAGATGATTCAAAGAAAGTTGAACACATGAACTGATGAGAGAGATAAACTAGTGAAGTGGATTAGGAGTTATTTGCAGATGTGACAGTAAAGGGAAGATGAAAAAAGTAATCTATACTGTTAGAGCTGGAAGCTGCTAGTGAAGATAAAATGAAATCAGTCTGTTTTTTTGCTTCATATTGACAGTTAAACAGGAAATGGGCAAAGAAGGAAGAGAGGAAGACATAATTCTGCTAAAATGATTTTCTTAAATAAATAAAAATTGGTAGTTCTGTATATTGGCATCGTTTTATTCCCTTCCCAGTGAATAATAAATGAAAATGTAGACCTTTGCACTCAAAACATGATGAGGACAGCTAAAAGGACAAGACGAACACAGTTTTTTTCTGAAATTGCACAAGACACGAGATCACTGTTATCAGGGAACAAATAGTCATTGAGTCATTTTTAGTTTCTGAGTATTGATCGTGAACTGATGGGAATCTAATGTGCAAAAAGCATGAAGCATAAAGTCCTGTATACATCTTGAGTAACTAAATGTGTGATATTTCCTCTCCACTAACCCATGTGGGAAATATTTTTGCCTTTTACTTTTAAATCCTGTTTATGTCTGTGTCATGTTCT